ATATTTACAGAAGAAAACGACAGTTGTTGTCTGCGGAGAGGGCTAAAATAGTCAACACACTATCGTCTGCAAATAGTCTGACTGCTGAGTGGATGTCTTGTGGTAGGTCGTTTACGTAAAAAAAAGAAATAAACTGGGTTATAAAAATGATCCTGCTGGTACACAAGCTTTCAGCATCATTGGTTTGATGTTGTCTGGTCCGGCAGCTTCTGTGGATTTCAGTTGTTTTTTTTCCACTCAATTATTTGTGGTGTTTTCGTTATTGGTATATTTTTCCTTGTTGATCGGTCATTCTTGGACACATTCCAGAATGTATTGATGTTTGTCATTTTGTTAAAAGTTTTCTCCAATTTCTGTATTCAGCAATTTCATATCTTCTATTATGTTGTCCCATGTTCTAAACAGTTTGATTTTTTTTTGTTTTTGCTTGCTTGTCATTAGATTGGTGTTCCTTTCTGCATACTGGACCTCATGGTATAAAATTCCCTGTATAACATCTATTCGCATCATTTTACTTGGACAGTTGGTAATAATTCTGGTCGGCTCTTGCACTAATTTAGTTAATCCATAGTCATCAAGATTGCCTAATAGTTTTGTAGTGTTGTACTGCATGCCGTGTTCCTTAGCCTACAGTTTTGTTTGAACAACACAAATTAGGTACTCACTTCTCCTTCTGTCCATCATCACCATACGACTCGGGGGCGAAAGATACCAGAGGGACATTCACTCATAAATCGAAAATAAACTGACAACGCCATGGCTAAAAAAGAAAAAGACAAACAGACAAACAATAGTACACAAAACACAACATAGAAAACTAAAGACTAAGCAACACGAACCCCACCAAAATCTGGGGGTGCTCCTGAAGGGTAAGCAGATCCTGCTCCACATGTGGCACCCGTCGTGTTGCTCATGTTAGTACAAACCAAGTAAATAGTCTAATTCGGTAGGTCACATTCGTGAAAAGGTAACGGGATTGTAGTTACGACATTAGGAACATATCCGCTATCATCTGTGAAACGGATATTCCATAACGGTCAACCAACTCGTGATGGCGTCAGTAAAATTTATGAAGGGATGATTTCAACTTCACCATTTGGAACTCTTGGTTTAATAGCTTCCTTGTGAGCAGCAACCCTCTATTAAGGAAATCATGATAGGAAATACAAGCCCGGGAATATCATATCAATTGGGAGATATACAGAGGCGGATTTAGAGGGGGGCCCAGGGGGCCCGGCCCCCCCCCTTTTCTGGGAAAAATTTGGTTGATTATATAGAGAAACACTGAAGCATGGACAGAGTGGGCCCCCACTTATGAAAATTTCTGGATCCCCCACTGATATATACTCCGTATGCAGGCGCTGCGGGAATGTTGCTACATAGAAATGGAAAGTTCACAATTGGGAAGCTGAAATCATCTCTTTTGTCGTAAAGTTTGGTTTTCAACCCACCCCCATTGTCAATTTCTAGATGTAAGTCAAGATATGAGGCAGACTTAACTGTATCTGTAGTAATAAGTAGTATTTGAACAAACAAAATGCAGCAAAAACTGTTCCTGACCAATTTCCAAGTTCAGGGTTGGTTGACATGTCAAAAGTAATAAGTACGCTAAAATACAATCCATGTGAAATCTGTAACTTCTTATTGCATACCTGTAGTTAGTATTACAAAGAAAGTCCTATGTTGGATATGAGAGACTCCTACAATTAAAGTCTTGCATTAATTGATAAATTCAAAATACCTTCTTCTTTCTTTCTTAGAACAGGGAAAATAATGGAAAAAAGGCAAAATACATGTAGAAGAAAAAGAACTTTTTATTTTAAAAGTAGATTTATATAACTATGTATACAAAGATCAACAATTTATAAAATATGAATCAAAGTGGATTGATAAATAGCATACATAACAAATAAATAACAATTACAAGTAACAACTAGACAAAGTGATGCCCCTGCACTCCACTCTGAAGTAACTGTATTATAACAAAGTCAATGTAGGACTTTTTTGAAATATTATTGTGTCTGGGAGACACAAATGATGCTCACACAGATGCATAGTGCAATTTTAAAATACACAAAGTTGAGCATGGGAGCACTTAGGTCTATGATTCACTGTAGGAGGAGTTATCTGGAAACGCTATGCACCTCTTATGCAAGTATATACTCCAAAAATGTTCAACTATCTCCCAGTGAGCAAATATTAATAAAAATCAAAACCATGCACACCTTCAATATATGCACAAACAGCCAGCAAAGTGAAAACTTCCTAGCATTCAAACTGTAGGAAGAGTTATGCGGAATAGCTATATACCCATAATGGGACAGACGGACTGAAAGATGGACGGAGGGACAGATAGGGGTAAAACAATATGCCCCCTAACTTTTAGTTGCGGGGGCATAAAAATTAAATAAACAAAATAGACATATATTCAGGAAAAGCAACAAACTTTTGAACTGCAACAAACTATTTCAATGAAAAAAGGGAGCTCTTAGTGCGTAGTACAAAATTTGGCTTTGAAATAGCTTTCATTACAGTAAGTTCTATGTGTCTTTTGTATTCATGTTACTTTTTTGTACTATGTATCAATCTGGTGAGTCAAGCCATTTCCAACTGATTTTTACATTTTTTTCTAGTGTTATACTGTTACACAACTGTCCCAGATTAGGGGATGGTTGAGCACTCATAAACATGTTTAACCAGCAACAGGAGCCTGTAATCCAGTGGTGTCTTTGGTTGCTGTCAGGCAATTTTTTTTTCTCGATTTTTGTTTTCTGTTTGGTTTTCTTGTTTAATTTTTTCAAATTTTGTCATGTTTGGGCCTTTTATAGCTGACTATACAGTTAGACTTTTGCTCATTATTGAAGGCTGTTTGGTGACATACAGTTGCTTAAATCCACATCATTTTGGTGGATAGTTAACTTGTCTCATTAAATGTCTAACTCAAAGTTTAATGGCATAAATCACAGGGTAAGGGTTTTACTTTTAAGATAAAGAATATCTTCCATGAGCATTAGACATTTGGTCTTCCCCCATAAGGAGTTCAAAAGAAAGAGAACCACAAAATTGAACTTTCAAATGAGTATATATTATCCAAAATTCAATTTTTTGGATCTGTATCTTAAGTAGAAGCTTACCATGGATAAATAGTGATCTTTATGTACATTTATTTATTTGTTCTTTCATTCAAATGCTTGCTGTCTCCCCAGTTTGTATCCACAAGACCTTGGGATCCAATGAGACATTTAAAAAAAACTTTTCAGAATTTCCAATAGATGTACATTAAGACATGTCAGCTACTACATGTAGCTGCTAGACAAAATTTATGTAAGATTTTGACAACATACACTAGCATAAAATTACATACCAGATATCTATAAAGGGGGCCAGCAATGTAGAGGAAAAATGTCCAAGTTTGAGGGCTGTAAATAGGTCAAGAGTATGTCAACTAGAATGAAATTGTAATCTGTCACTTTTTTTTTTACCCAAGTACAAACAAAAGATTAGCTAAATATCTATAAAAAAAAAATGTGGATAGTGTCCACATGTGGACACAGATGATGCTCCCGCTTGCATATCATATAGTTATAAAGGGACATAATTGAAGAACGGTAAAAATGACGCTACCCAAATTTGAACTTGATCTGAGTTTTGTGGTAATAAGCATTGTGTGTAAGTCTCATAACATTTGGTTGAGGCTAACTTAAGTAGAGAACAGAAACTAAAAATTCTGCCATTTTTCTATTTGTGAACACCCATAACTCTAGAACGGTTGTGTATAAGTTTTATAACATTTGGTTGAGACAAACTAAAATCAGAAAAAAGGAAATGAAAAATTCAGCAATTTTTATGTTTATTTAAGGAATGACTGTAATATTTTTTCTGTCTATGAAGAAATAACATAAAAAATGTGGTGCACACTGAATAACCCGCGTAGCATTAAAAACTATCCTTTTGCCTCTTTTACCCATGTACTCTATTTATAGCAACAGCAACCATGATAGTTGATTGGCTGGAACATTGGACATAAGTTTGTAACAATAAATGCTACCATAATTATAACCAAATTAGGTTTATCAGCTTAGTTATTCCAGTGAAGATTTCAATAGATAGATGTAATGTAATGCACAGATGGTGCCAACTGTCAAGTGATAGAAATAGCTCATAGTAGTCTTTTGTTCCAGGTAAGTTAAAAATGGTGTTGTCATACTGAAAGAGTCTATCTTAAATAAAAATATTTTCTGAACAAGAATGTGTCCAAAGTACATGGATGTCTCACTCGAACTATCATTTTCTATGTTCAGTGGACCGCGAAATTGAGGTAAAAACTCAAATTTGGCATTAAAATTAGAAAGATCATATCATAGGGAACATGTGTACTAAGTTTCAAGTTGATTGGACTTCAACTTCATCAAAAACTACCTTGACCAAAAACTTTAACCTGAAGCGGGACACACGGATGAACGGAAGGATGAACGGACGGACGGACAGACAGACGAACGAATGGACGCACAGACCGAAAAACATAATGCCCCTAGGTGGGCCATAAAAAGGGGTATGAGAAGTAAAATGTGTAAAAAGTGTTCATATAGATCACATATAAAAAGAATATAAATTACATAGACATAAATGTATCACAGAACTCATATTAAAATTCATAAATAATATAGACAGTATACAGGTATATATATATATATATAAAAATAGTATGCTAAGTAAACATAACACTCAAATATCTAAACTTATCATGCACTAGTAGCCTGAAATGCTCACCTGGCAAATATATGCCATATTGTTATTTATTTTCACCTTTTTTGCAACCAAACTTTTTTTCTAAAAAAAAAACTTTTTGAGGTTTATTCTTCCTTGGCAGGATAACAACCAAAGAATTTGTTCTTGATCTCAATTTGCTTATTCGTCAAGTGTGCTGCCACACTTTCTCTATGATCCTCTATCCACTATTGTTTTCAAGATAACGCATAATGATAAAAGCTCATAAGATTACAACAATATTTCCATTTAGGAATTGACCTACAATTTTACAGATTTGAACTTTACCAAGCATTTTCAGTCCCAGTCAGATTTTCCCTAAAAACAGCAGTTTTGAAGATATGAGACAATCATTTGCATTTTACTTCTAAGTTCTATTATAAGTCATGGTGGCCATGTTGGTTGATAGAAGATGAAATAATTCATAAACTGAAATCTAGACACAATTAAGATCATTCAAGTCAAATGAAAATAATGCTTTATAAATTTGGTGCATCTGAAGTTTGGTTTGAATTCATTCTGAAGTTTCAAGATCTGAACAAGAATGCAAATAATTGGTAAAAATTGTCATTTACTTAAGGGGCAATTAGGTCTGAGTTTGGTTAAAATTGTCATTTAAGTGGTAATTAAGTCTGAGTTTGGTTAAAATTGTCATTTAAGTGGTAATTAAGTCTGAGTTTGGTTAAAATTGTCATTTAAGGGGTAATTAGGTCTGAGTTTGGTTAAAATTGTCATTTAAGGGGTAATTAAGTCTGAGTTTGGATAAAATTGTCATTTAAGCAATGAAAAAGGCAACCATTTTTTGAAGAAAAAAACTACAGTGTGGTTTTTAAAGCAAACAATTTTCCATGTTTCTATTCCGTAAATTACTTTTTTAATAGTAGATTTAACATTTGTTAAAAGTATGATATAATAAAGTTAAGGCACTTTAAATATGTAAAACTTAATAACCCAACAAGCATGATGTATTCAAATGAGGTAATTTGGTGTGTACAAATAATATACAAATGGAAAGGAAAATGTGTGTCAAATAAACTAATCTTAGTTCATTTTACAGATTAATATATATGGAAAGTAATTTAATAAACTGTTAACACAGAGATATGTCTTGCCTTTATATTATTTTGATAATGCAAATGTTGAAATTAAAATAGCAATACTTTAACATGTAAGTTATGCAAATATTCAAAGTCAATGAACCATGACTGAAGGTGCATGGCTAAACAATCTCCATGGAAATGAGGTGTGCCAATGCTAATACAACTGCATATCAAATACCATTGACTTATCATAAGTCGTTCCCTTTTAAACAAACCTAAACACAAACATTAACTTGTAAACTATGTAAAAGTTGATTGAACCAATGATGAGGGGGAAATATATTATCCATGGAAATGAGACTTGCAAATGCCAATACATTCGCATACCAAATATCATTGACTTATCATTAGTGGTTCATCTTTAACAGATCTAATAACAAACTAACACATGTAAACCAAGCAAAAGTTTCAAAGTCAATAGACCATGACTTAGGGGTTGAGCCTAATAATCTCGAAGGAAATGAGATTTGCCAATGCTTATACAACTGGATACCAAATACTGTAAATTTATTATTGCGATTTTGTCATTTTAGACTAAAATGCGATTTTAATTTTTGCGATATTGAGAAAAATCCTGTTTAATTTATATAAAAAATTTCAAAATGCGAGTTTAAATTATTGCGATAATAACCCTGTCGCATTTTTCACAATAACAAAAACATCGCAATAATTTCTGAATTTACAGTACCATTGACCTACCACTAGTAGTTCCCCATAAACTGACCTAATCACAAACTAATACATGTAAACAAAGCAAAAGTTTCAAAGTCAATAGACCATGACTGAGGGGCCAGGTCCAAATAATCTCCATGGAAATGAGATGTTCCAATGCTAATACACCTGCATACCAAATATCATTGGCATACCACTAGTGGTTCACCATAAACTGGACCTAATCACAAACTAATACATTGTTGACGCCATTTTTGACGCCGCCGCTACCGGAATCGGCATATATTTGACTCCGTCAAGGCAAGACAATAAAACTAATTATTAAATCAAAGATTAAGACTCTGTCAACACTTGTACCAAACATAAACGATGACCATGACAACAGACTGCAGTCCCACAATCGTTGTAGGCAAGATAAAAAAAACATTTTCAAATGTTGATGTGCAAACTCAACATCCTTCCTTTTCTTGTTTCAGAAATATGTCTGGACTGATTGTAAGTCTTCACTCATTATTCTGGTACCGGGTGATTGTTATAATTTATTGTCATTTTGCTTTTGAATTTGCCCAAAATAATATCACATGATTTACAATATCCAAAGTTAATTTACATACATTTTGTACACAGCTGTAACTGCCAGAGGAACATACATAACTGGAACAAAAGAGAAAAAGCACTTTAGTAAAATCTTGCATTCTTCGTTCCAGCTATCCATTGATTATTTAAACTTCTTACCGTATTTTGAATTTAATTAATCTTGAAATTAGAATGAAATAGCAATGGAAAAAAGAACTTTTTCATTCATTTTTTTCATGTTAACATGGATCTAAATCAAAGTAGTCAATAATTCGCAATCATTGAACTGGCATACTAGCTTAAATATGATGCACACTAGATGGGTGAAAGTTTTATTTTATTGAAAGTTGATGTGCATAATTTACAATAACACTTTGAATGAACAAGTACTGGCTATGAACCCAGACTACTTCAAGAATATATTATATCATGAGGTCAAAATGACCATCACCTCTTTTAATAAAATAAATAAATAAGATTGTCAGTAGTGAGGAACCTAATCAAAAGTTGCTGTTGTCTGTTTCTGTTTCTGTTGATATTTTAATTGTGGACCTTAGTGTTGATTTTCAACAAATTTGTTAATATTATGGACAGTAACACTATGTATTGATGCACACAAAATTGAGAGCCCCAATGATAGTTGTATTTAGTTATCAGGTGCACTTAGGGTACTCCACATAAAATAAAAATATTTTTAAGGACATTTGCTTCTCACATTTTCATCTTTTCCTTAATATTTTGTTTAACGTCTAATTTTTTTCCTAGACAGTGTATTAAAAGTTTTAGCTTCATAATCCCTTAATTTTTCACTTTATATTTTAATATAACATTTCCCCATTAATAAATTTTAAAAAGATATTTGATTAGCTGACTTAGTTCCTTCAAACCATGAACTATAATAAACTACATGAACTAGACTTGGTGACTGTTTTATGGTCCTTTTCATCCATTTCTTTCTCTAAAGTTCTAATCATAGCAGCCTGTATTTCTGCTGTTTTTAAATGCTTTGTGTTTTCCTTATCAGCCCACTTTACAACAGGTGTGTCATCAGATGACTTTGCTGTACTTTCCTTTTCTTTCACAGGGGGAATCTGTATTTCAGCTGTTTTCTGAGGATTTGGGCTTTCTTCATCAGCCCACTTTACAACAGTTGACTTTTTGGGGCTGTTTTGATCTGTATTTTTAACAATACCGGTATTTGGCATGGATTTTGCATTTGGAGAATCAGGTGTGTCATCAGGTTTTGCTGTACTTTCTTTTTCTTTAACAGGTGGAATCTGTATTTTCTGGTTGTTGGAAAATATGTCTATCAAACACTGAAAAACATATACCATAGAATTTTAATATTTCAAACAAGTTACCGGTACTATAAATTTGCTACTTACCTGTAGTTTTAACTGTATTAGTTCACTATCCTAGGATAATTTTGAAAGGGGTTATACTTTAAAAAGAAATTGTCTGAAACTAGTTTTGTTGGGTATTTATCAACTCTTCTAATATTTCACCAAAGGCAATACAAAACAAAAAAATGTAAAAAAAAATTATAATCAATAATTCATTAAAGGGTTGAAACTGGATGATGTTGAATAATTTACTACCATTCTTAAATTTAGAAATATATACAATAAGAACAAAGTTTACCTTTTCCATTAAAGTAAACTTAAACCAGTTCTATGTAAAAATATTCTCAAATTATGCAGCAAAAAGTATAAAATAAGAATAGGCATAAAGGCTTATGAAACGTTTTGGGTTAACTACATGAAAAAATTGATGTCAGAATTTAAAGCAAAACTGAACTAACTGTGTATATCCAAAATTCTTGGTTCTTTCACATTACCAAATGCTGAAAAGTTTTTGTGTGTGGTTGCTATCTTCCACAAATTACTTGTATTTATATTAAAACAAAAATTTGTCATATTTATTCCTACATCAAATGAAGGCTGTAGTTATTCAAATATTATTTGCAAGCCAATTTCTCTGCAAAAGGTTTGGATTGGTAAAATTTCAATGATATGCCATCAGCTAATTCTGAAATCTAGACTTACAACTTAAATATTGATTTACTAGTAAAAAGAAATAAGAAGATGTGGTATGAGTGCCAATGAGACAACTCTCCATCCAAGTCACAAATGTATGATAAGGACAAACAATGGTAAATCTTTCAGTTCAAAACATATACCTGGTGGAGCATGTAAGCATTGATTTTACAGGAAATATTTGGAAAGATCATCAACAAAATCTAATTTAAAAAACTAATAGGCTCTTAAGATCCTAAATCAATCAATTGTCAAAAATTTATCTTCAATTGCTAATCATTTTAGATAATAGAAAAATTCTCAGATATTAGTCAAAAATCAGTATTTTAACCCAATAACTCCTATACGGATCAAGTCATCCAATGGTTTCAGTCATATTTTTGGTTGATTATTTTTGCTCTTTACTGTTCCTACCTACCTATCATTTATAATTTTCAAGACAAAAACTTGAATTACAGTATTGGAGATAATAGGAATAAACACAAGAAATAGTCAAAAATTGTCCTATAAGGGCAATAAGTCCTACAAGTAGTCATCTGATAATCTGGAAATAGGAAATGGGTAGATCTTGAAATTCTGAACATTTTTCACCTGTAGGGTTTTCCCCATCTTTTTTGATTTTCAAGATATTACAATTCATGTATTTTACCCTAAAGTTCTATTTTTAGCAATGGCTGGCTGCCATGATGGTTGATTGGCAAGAACAAAAGGCACAAACCTTATACCCTTAGAATCCTTCAATTTAAGTTTGGTTAAAATTGGTCAAATGGTTTCAGAGAAGATGATTTTTTATAGTTGGTAAAGACAACAGACACAAGAGATGGCAATTGCATGACCTAAAGAGCCAGGTGAGCTAACTAGAGCCTCTTAAGAGCCTTTGTCTCTCACCTGCATTTTAACAATGGACACTTTTTGGTAAAAATCATCCGTAAAGGGCAAGAACTCTATAAAGAGTTAACTGACAATTTCAGTCACATTGACATACTTGTAGATCTTGTTCTGCTGATTATTTTTGCTTTTAAAAGTTTCTATCTACATTTTTATCAATTATACTTTTCAAGATAATAGGCAAAAACTAAAAAAAATGGTAAAAATCATCATTAAAGGGCAAAACTCCTTTAACAAGTCGACTTAAGATTTAAGCCATGATGGCTTATTTGTAGATCTTGTCTTGCTGATCATTCTTGCTATTTAAAGTTTCTATATATCTATCATAATTTATAAGATCCTAGGCAAAACTGCAAAAAAAAAATGGTAAAAATGCATTTAAAGAGAAAAAATTACAATAACCAGTTCTCTGACAATTCCAGCCATTTGACTTTTTTGTAGATTTTTTCTTGCTGATCATTTTTGCTGATTAAAGGTCTATTAAAGTTTTCAAAATAATTGACAAAAATGAAAAAAAAATTGGTAAAATTTGACATTAAAGGGCAATAACTCTATTAGAAAATGTCTGACAGTTTTGACATTAATGAACAGCAGGTGAATCTCAACATTCTAAACATTTCTGCCCCCAGTCAGATTTTCTATATTCATATCAGTTTTCAAGATAATAGACTTAACTTGGATTTCACCCCTATGTTCTATTTGTAGCCATGTCAGCCAGGTTTTTTGCAGACAGGGTCATCAGACATATTTTTTAACCTAGATACCCCAATAATGAGTGTGTCCAAGTTTGTTTAAATTTGGTCCAACAGTTATAGACCAGAAAATTTTTGTAAGATATTAGGCAAAAATGCAAAAAATTGGTGAAAATTGGGCAATATTTCTAATAAGGAGTCATCTGACTATTTCAGCCAAGTTAACATAATACGCTTGATTCCAATTGTTATCTTTCCATCAAAGTGTTTGGTTTATGGTGATGTTATTAGACGTCATTTGTGCGTTTGTTGGGCATAAAATCTATGTCAGTACGTTGAGCTAAGGGATAAATATTCTAATGGGGATAACTTCCTTATGACTGCTCCGATATTTGTTTTTAAATGATAAAATTAATATATTTCTTTAGGCAGGGTTGGATTATGTACATAAGAATAAAGACGGGTGTTTGTAAAAATATCAAGCAGTCACAATTACTTTATCAGATCAAAGATGCAGGGATCCAGTTAGCCCATAAAATGTTTAAATGACGTGAGAAATCAGAGTATAGTAAAAGAGTATTTCTGGTTATGGAAATGATATGGATCAAACGTATTGTAGATCTTTTCTTGCTGATCAGTTTTGCTATTTAAAGTTTCTCTCTAACTTTTATAGATTTCAAGATAATAGCAAAAATGAAAAAAAAAATTGGTAAATTTGACAGTTTTGACGTAAATAGATAAAAGGTAGAGCTCAATATTCTGAACATTCAGCCTCTGTCAGATTTTCTTTATTTATAGCAATTTTCAAAATGATAGAAAAAACTTTCATTTTACCACTATGTTCTAGTTTTAGCCATGTCAGCCATCTTAGTGTGGCAGGCAGGGTCATTGCACACATTTTTAAACAAGTGACCCCAATGATGATTGTTGGCAAGTTTTGTTAAATATAAATAAGAAGATGTGGTATGAGTGCCAATGAGACAACTCTTCATCCAATGGCCATTTAGTTTCAGAGGAGAAGAATTTTGTAAAAGTTAAGGGACAATGACGACTGGCGACAGATGCCAAGTGATGAGAAAAGCTCACTTGGCCCTTTGGGCCAGGTGACCTAAAGAGGAACTTTTCTTACTCATTTGCTGTCTTCAAAACCAAGAAGGGTTGTCAACCTTTATTTTAAACATTTTGGAAGTGTCTACCTACAGACAAGAATGACAGTTAAACTATAATACAGCACTAATTTTAGTCATGCAAAAATCTCTAATGCTGTTCAATGATATGGATAAAACAAATTGTAAATCTCTAATGCTGTTCAATGATATGGATCAAACGTATTGTAAATCTCTAATGCTGTTCAATGATATGGATCAAATGTATTGTAAATCTCTAATGCTGTTCAATGATATGGATCAAACGTATTGTAAATCTCTAATGCTGTTCAATGATATGGATCAAACGTATTGTAAATCTCTAATGCTGTTCAATGATATGGATCAAATGTATTGTAAATCTCTAATGCTGTTCAATGATATGGATCAAACGTATTGTAAATCTCTAATGCTGTTCAATGATATGGATCAAACGTATTGTAAATCTCCAATGCTGTTCAATGATATGGATCAAACGTATTGTAAATCTCTAATGCTGTTCAATGATATGGATCAAACGTATTGTAAATCTCCAATGCTGTTCAATGATATGGATCAAACGTATTGTAAATCTCTAATGCTGTTCAATGATATGGATCAAATGTATTGTAAATCTCTAATGCTGTTCAATGATATGGATCAAACGTATTGTAAATCTCCAATGCTGTTCAATGATATGGATCAAACGTATTGTAAATCTCTAATGCTGTTCAATGATATGGATCAAATGTATTGTAAATCTCTAATGCTGTTCAATGATATGGATCAAACGTATTGTAAATCTCCAATGCTGTTCAATGATATGGATCAAACGTATTGTAAATCTCTAATGCTGTTCAATGATATGGATCAAACGTATTGTAAATCTCTAATGCTGTTCAATGATATGGATCAAACGTATTGTAAATCTCTAATGCTGTTCAATGATATGGATCAAACGTATTGTAAATCTCCAATGCTGTTCAATGATATGGATCAAACGTATTGTAAATCTCTAATGCTGTTCAATGATATGGATCAAATGTATTGTAAATCTCTAATGCTGTTCAATGATATGGATCAAACGTATTGTAAATCTCCAATGCTGTTCAATGATATGGATAAAACGTATTGTAAATCTCTAATGCTGTTCAATGATATGGATCAAATGTATTGTAAATCTCTAATGCTGTTCAATGATATGGATCAAACGTATTGTAAATCTCTAATGCTGTTCAATGATATGGATCAAACGTATTGTAAATCTCCAATGCTGTTCAATGATATGGATAAAACGTATTGTAAATCTCTAATGCTGTTCAATGATATGGATCAAACGTATTGTAAATCTCTAATGCTGTTCAATGATATGGATCAAACGTATTGTAAATCTCCAATGCTGTTCAATGATATGGATCAAACGTATTGTAAATCTCTAATGCTGTTCAATGATATGGATCAAACGTATTGTAAATCTCTAATGCTGTTCAATGATATGGATCAAACGTATTGTAAATCTCTAATGCTGTTCAATGATATGGATCAAACGTATTGTAAATCTCCAATGCTGTTCAATGATATGGATCAAACGTATTGTAAATCTCTAATGCTGTTCAATGATATGGATCAAATGTATTGTAAATCTCTAATGCTGTTCAATGATATGGATCAAACGTATTGTAAATCTCCAATGCTGTTCAATGATATGGATAAAACGTATTGTAAATCTCTAATGCTGTTCAATGATATGGATCAAACGTATTGTAAATCTCTAATGCTGTTCAATGATATGGATCAAATGTATTGTAAATCTCTAATGCTGTTCAATGATATGGATCAAACGTATTGTAAATCTCTAATGCTGTTCAATGATATGGATCAAACGTATTGTAAATCTCCAATGCTGTTCAATGATATGGATAAAACGTATTGTAAATCTCTAATGCTGTTCAATGATATGGATCAAACGTATTGTAAATCTCTAATGCTGTTCAATGATATGGATCAAATGTATTGTAAATCTCTAATGCTGTTCAATGATATGGATCAAACGTATTGTAAATCTCTAATGCTGTTCAATGATATGGATCAAACGTATTGTAAATCTCTAATGCTGTTCAATGATATGGATCAAACGTATTGTAAATCTCTAATGCTGTTCAATGATATGGATCAAACGTATTGTAAATCTCTAATGCTGTTCAATGATATGGATCAAACGTATTGTAAATCTCTAATGCTGTTCAATGATATGGATCAAACGTATTGTAAATCTTTTCTTGCTGATCAGTTTTGCTATTTAAAGTTTCTCTCTAACTTCTATAGATTTCAAGATAATAGCAAAAACGAAAAAAAAAATGGTAAATTTGACAGTTTTGACGTAAATAGATAAAAGGTAGAGCTCAATATTCTGAACATTCATTCTACAGCACGACCAATTCTACATTTCTCTACAAAATTGAAATAATGGAAGTTTTCAAATAGATATATTTTATACTTCATTTAAAAATCCGTAAGTCATTCCCTTCTTATTCTAGTATAGGATAAGAATTTTCCCTATAGTATATTTTCCTTACCTCTGACACCTTTACAGTAGGAGGATACTTGTTATCCTTTAATTTAGCTTCGACCATGTTACAAATAATAGGTGGTACATGTACACTTTCCTTTTTTGGACTGAAATATATGCAGTGATAGCAGATTAATAACAATAGATGGTAAAAATAGTTTTTACTATAAAAATTAAAAAAAACAAAATACACATAAAAAACTTGATTCCATTTATAAGATACATGCGTCTTCCATTAAAATTATAGTTCTATGTAGTTAAATTGATTGAAAACTTTTTTTTTTTAGATCTGAAATGTTAATAAGTCATTCTACAGCAAGACCAAATAGCTATTATAGTGCATATTCTATAGTCTTAGTCCTTTCACAATACCAATTGCTTAAGTGTTTTACCATATTGCTGTTTGAATTCAACTCTACAAACTGATCAACTGGTAAAGCATTTTAGCTCATCGTTTCAGTGAAAGGTTGTTAGTATGAAGTAAGTGAAGTGAAATAAAATTAATTCTTACCATCCAAATCCAGTTATTGATGTGTTATATATCAAAAGTTGTAAGGAACACTAGTCTAAAAACATATTTGAGTCTATCAACTTTCACCTAATGATTATTAAACTATTATCCTGTGTTCTAAAAAGAACATTGAAATCTATTTGTTAGATGAGTTAATTTTTGAAAGAAAAAAAATGTTGAAAACATGACATTAAAGGGACATAATCAAAAGTGTATATAACATAAAGATTCCGCATGTTAATTATGTACAATGTTAATTATTTCCCATTAATATCAGCAGATCAGTAATTACTTTAGAAAAAATATCCAAATTTTAAATTCTTAAAAAATTCCTGTTAGAAAACAAAGCAATACTTGATCGATCAACAAAACAACGTTTAGAACTAATTACTTATAAAATGTCATTATGATAGAAATTTTCATATTAAAGTAAAACTTTTTTAAACCAGTGTTCCTTTTTTCCCCCAATTTCATAACACAGACAGGCAATTACTGGAATTGGATAGTAATAGTAAGAAAATATTTCTTATTTCAAATGAAACAAAAAGACCATAAGACCCTGAATCTCTCTCTTGTTAAAAAATTAAATAAGTGCTTTTGACTCATAGAGGTCTAATTATTTCATGGATTGTCTACCTTTATCTTATAAACTGTTAACACAGATATGTCTCACCTTTTTGTTATTTTGAAAGTAAAATGCAAATGTTGAAATTAAAATAGCAACACTTTAAGAAGCAAGTTATGCAAAATATTCAAAGTCAATAAACCATGACTGAAGGTACAGGGCCAAATAATCTCCATGCAAATGAGATGTGCCAATGCTAAGACATATGCATACCAAATATCATTGGCCTACCTCTAGTGGTTCCCCATAAACTGACCTAATCACAAAATAATACATGTAAACTATGCAAAAGTTTCAAAGTCAATAGACCACGACTGAGGTGGCAGGGCCAAAACATCTCCATGGAAATGAAAATTGCCAATGCTAATACTACCGCACACATGTGACAGAGTTGTCAAGTCACAACTGGAGATTTGAAAAATTTTCAGCTGGAGTTTGGGCCTCATAACTGATTTTTTATTGGCATATTTATTGCCGTTTTCAGTGTTCATTTTGATGATAAATCTACATATTTCCCCTTTTTTTATGATAACAGTATTACTATTAATGTATTCTCTCTGTATTGTTTGGTAACACTATAAAGCTATACTATTTGTATGGGATTTTTTTTCTTTTCCTCATCTTTGTCATTATTAGTGTGTTTCTCAGTTCTATCATACAATAATTATTTATGTGTTTAACATTGTTATTCCATTTCTCTAGCTAATTTTGATTTTGCCAGATTAGCATAAACATTCACATAGTCATTATATAAGGTCAATACATGTCTTATAAATTTCAATTTAAGCATTGAAAAAAAGTATACACAGTGTCTAAATTTTGGACTCAATAGTATCTAATGTCTGGTATGGTGCTGACTATCAAAAGACAGAGAAAAGGTAGGATTTCTGCTTACCTATTTGTTATTTTTATAAGATTGAAGAATATACATACACATATAACTATTTTCGATTGGGAGATGTAATATTTTTTACAACCGTTCTAGATTAATGGAGAAATAAGCAAAAAGGCACATCCAAATTGTGAATTGAGTGAACCTTGATTAGAATTTGTTTAATTTCTCTTTAAATTGTGCACATTGTATGGAAAGAAAGGTACGGAAAGAAAGATAAAAACACGGAGATCGCAAGACTAGTCAATTTGAGCACCTCAATATTTGTATTTCTGTGCATGGAACGAAAGAAATAAGTCATGTCAAAATTGAAGGACCCTGTTTTGTCAATGTGTACGACCAGGTTTTAGTCCTAATATTTCACAAAGCAGGACCTGGTTTTGTCATAGAAAATAATGTATAATCGCAAGACGTAATTAAAATCCGGCGTTCAACTAACTTCAACAGGAAGTTGATGGCTTGTTTGAAAATGATTTTTTGCAGAGTTTTATTTGAATCCGAAAAAAAACTTGAATTCCTGCTTAAATGGAACAAAAATAATTTTAATTTTGCTTTGTATAAAAACGAATACTATAACGGTGAAATACAAAAAAATGAAGGTTTTGTAACACAATTTCAGTTTTTTTTTTATATTCATGATGTAAATTTAAGTGTTCAAACTTGGATAGTGTACTGCCTGGGAAATTGAAGGATGTACAATTGATATGTGATTTTCTCGGACAACAGGATGGTTATCTTAATAAATATTCCACTCTAACTAGGGGGCAGTATGATCGTTTGAAAATGAATATTCTAAACACTAAATGTTCATTATAAAGCAAGAGAATAAGACAAATATATATGCATGCAAAATCGCCCTAGAAAATGAACTGCCATGCGGTGCAAAGGATCACAAAATAATAATGTGTTAAAAATATTTTTACCCCTCCTTGTAACTATTATACTAAATATAAATTAGTATAATAGTCTCAGGTCATCCACAAAATGCCATAGCGACTACTTTATTTAATAATTTTGTAAATAAACGGTTCTTTTATCTCTCCATTGTGTAATGATTATCGTACATTGACAAATGTTCTACATTTTAGTGACATTGTTCAAGTTTATAATTGTCGATTGCAATATGCAGGGGCAGATCAGGGATTTTTGAAAGGGGGTGTAATTCTATAAATCGGGTTATATACCACCGAGCGTAGTGAGGGGAAATATTTTTTGGACAATTTTATGCTAAAAAATCATATATAAATCGTGAAAAAACATGATATAATAATTATTTCTAGCTATCAAAATGGGAGTGGGGGTGTGTACTCCCTGTACACCCCCTGGGTCCGCCTCTGATAATATAACTATATCGTATACCATCATAAAATTTGATAAAAAAAAGAGAAAACAACTTTTAGTGCCAAATGCGCATTATCTATACAGACTCTGTAATCGAATGTGTTAAGCCTTTTTCAACTGATTTTTATCGATTTTTCTTATGTTGTGCTGTTATACCAGTTTTCTTTCTTTTTTTTTTTGGGGGGGGGGGGGGGTTAACTTTAAACATGATAAAACAAGGGAAGTAACCTGAAATTTCTCTTTGAAGTGTTTTCAAATACACAAAGCAATTTATTACATAACGGCAGTTAGCCTGAGGTAAAAATCGTTGATTAATAGTATGTTTGACACCCAAGCTGTCAAGTGAAGCCATATAATTATACAAGTTCTTTGATTTACAGGTAAAAATTACCTTCATCAGTGTCAGACACAAAAACATAATTAATGTTGACATCAATGGTAATAAAAAAATAGAGACTGACAAATTTTTTGGGGTTGAAACTTTGAAAAAAAACAGAAGATTTGAATAATTAACGGGAGAAACGGAAAAGGGCTTAAAAATCGAGAGATTTTGAATCCCGCCGGTACAATCCCATGTCTGCTACTGAATACTAAACATCACTGACCTACCACAGTTCTTGTGTGTGTGTGTCCATGTGAAATTTTGAATTAAATTGTACTGGCCAAAGTACCACAAACTATCAGATATGAAAGTTAGGCTTGATAAAAACCTGATAGAACCTACCTTCTAAGGCTTTTTATCACCTCAAATGCTGTTTTTTGTAAGGCATAAAATGTCCCAAATGGAATCATAAATGATCCCATCATGCCTTGCTTATGTGACATCACTGTTTTGTGTTTCATGTCACAATCATTCACTGATATCTTGTGATATCTTTTCCATAACTTGTCGGTTACAACTGTATCAAATGGTAACAAATGTATAAACATAGGCTTCTCAGGTAGATTCTCTTCTGCCAAGATTCTGACCACCACTTTGTTCTTAGACTCTCTTTGTCTACATAAGGCCAAATGTAGTTCTTGCATATGATGAGTAGACTGAATATATTCCTTTGACAAGATTATAATAATTTGTTTAGCTGAATCTAAATCTTTCAGGTTACCCTGAGTATTTTCATTTAGAAAGGAAATTTGTAGCTGGTCATTTTCTTTCCCAAAAATGTCGTTTAAAGTACCAGCATAGGCAATTGTGTCTCTTGCAAAACTAATTGCAACATCTATTTTCCCCTTAGGAGATGGTATAATAGTACCTAACTTTTCCAAAGGTACTAAAGTTTTCATTCTTAAATCTAAGTTGTACTGGTTTTGAATAGTTATCTTCCTGTCATCTTCAATACTTTGAAAACTGTAACGATCCTGAAAATAATAAAACAAAGTAATCTATAAAGTAAATAAGACCAATACTGGGTCAGGACCTACATATCTGTGTTAAATTGATTGAAATTCCAAAATCAGCAAACAAGAAGTAGCTGCATGGAACATCTAAAAATTGCTTACATGCTACAACTCAACATTATCAAGCTGCAGACAAATTATAAAATCATTCCCCGTCATAGAAGCCAAGTTCTTTAGGACAGACGGATTCGAGCGTTTACTGTAAATGCTTTTGCCATTGGAGACACACGTAAAAGTACTTTATTTTATAAAAAAGAAATAATATATACAATTAAACAAAATACTCACAAAAAGCAACCCAAACAATTTTTCCCCCATACGAAATAGACATCATTATTAATAAAAATTTGTAAGGGTTCCGTGGAACCCAGTGTCTCGCCTACTTTTTCTGTTAATCGCAGGCTCAACAAAAATGAGGAAGTAAATCAATAAAAATATTCCTCTTGATACTATCTTTTGATTGAAAGAAGCTTCTGTCCAAGTTTGGTAAAAATCCAGGATAGTTTATTTAATTATGAATCTAATAAATGTTTAAAAACTTTTAACTGCAGACTGAATGTAATGTTAACACGAAGAAAACAAAATTTCCTTCTAGATACTAGCATTTGATCATAAACAAGCTTCTGTCCAAGTTTGGTACAAATCCAAAATAGTATAAGAAAATCTAAGTCCATTTAAAAGTAAAATAAAGAAAAAATGGATTTATTTTTTTACAAAATTTACTTCTTGATACTATCTTATGATCATAAACAAGCTTCTGTCCAAGTTTGGTACAAACCCAGGATAGTTTAAGAAAGTTATTAAAATTTTAAAAACTTTAACCACAGAGTGAATGAGATATTTCCCGGCAGAAAAACTAAGTCCATTTATAAGTAATATACGGAAAAAATGGAATTTTATTTTTACAAAATTTACTTCTGGATACTATCTTATGATCACAAACAAGCTTCTGTCCAAGTTTGGTAGAAATCCAGGATAGTTTAAGAAAGTTATTAAAATTTCAAAAACTTTAACCACAGAGTGAATATTTGTGGACACCGCCGATGCCGACGGAATGTAGGATCGCTATGTCTCGCTTTTTCGACTAAAGTCAAAGGCTCGACAATGATGATATTATGGGAAAGCATATCTGTGCAACTTGTTTCAATTTTTTTAAATGTTTGTCTGTAGAAATATACAGTGCCCTAGATAAATTCTGATAGAATAGGGCCCAGACCAGAAGAATAGGAACATTTGAGTAAAATAAAAGAGACACTTCTGTGCAGTTATTATTTTCGTAACAAATTTTTTAAAATATTTTGTCTTTATCATGAAGAGTTGATAAAATATTGACCCTGGTTTTAAAGAATTGTAACACTTCTTATATAATATGATACTATCACTTATTTTTATACATGTTCAGCTTCCACCAGGTATGCAGTTTTATACAGATAACCCATTCTCCATTGTTATTTCAGTTTACTACATATTTGTTAGTGTTTGCTAAAGGAGTGTTTTGTAGGATATGGCACCCTGTTTATAAATCTATTATGTATAAAAGTAATCTATTATTCAATTATAATAAAAGAACAGAGTTCCAATGTCCCAGGCATTGCACAGTTCAATTATAATAAAAGATCAGAGTTCCAATGTCCCCCGCATTGCACATATTTTATCTATCCAAAGATCAAGGGCAAAAACTAAAAAATATACTTTTTTTTGTTCTTCAAAACTGTTGATAAATATCGTGGAGAAATGAATGCTGAAGCCCACCTCCTGATGAGGGATATTCCCCCTGTATTGGAGATATCATTGGTGGCCTTGGGCTGTTTTCTGCTCTTTGGTCGGGTTGTTGTCTCTTTGATGCATTCCCCATTTCCATTCTCCATTTTATTCAGAGCAAATTCATTGTGATTTCCAATATAAGTAATATTTCAAAGGGGCATAACTCGTTTAAAATATTTGATCAGCACTTATTTCAGAAAGTGTCAAAGACATTGCTGATATAAACCTATGATATAAAGTTCATAAAATTCTGGCAAGAATTGTACACATGAGAGCGCTAACAATGCAATTTTCCATACAATTAATATCTCCAAGGGGCATAACTCTTTAAAAAATAATTGATCTCCAAAGATTTTCGAATTCATCCAAGACATTGATGATATAAACCTATAATATAAATTTCATAAAAATCTGGCAAGAATTGTACACATGAGAGCGCTCACAAGGCAACTTTCCATATAATTAATATTTCCAAGGAGCATAACTCTTTTAAAAACAATTGATTAGCACTGGTTTTAGAACTCATCCTAGACATTGATGATATAAACCTACAATATAAGTTTCATAAAAATCTGGAACATGAGAGCATTAACGATGCAATTTTTCATATAATTAATGTTTCCATGGGGCATAACTCTTTTTTAAATAATTGATCGACACTGATTTTCGAAACCATCCGAGACATTGATGATATAAACCTACAATATAAGTTTCATAAAAATCTGGAACATGAGAGCACTAACGATGCAATTTTCCTTATAATTAATATTTCCAAGGGGCATAACTCTTTTAAAAATAATTGATTGGCACTGATTTTCGAACTCGTCCAAGACATTGCTGATATATTAACCTATGATATAAGTTTTATAAAAATCGGCCAAGAATTGTACATATGAGAGCTTTAACAAGACTGTACGGACAGACAGACTGAAGGAGGGATAGACCCCCGATTTGTTTATTCCCCCCACACAACGCGTTGCGCAGGGACAAAATATTTTGATTCCTTTTTCATATAAAGGTTATCATTCAATTTATTGAACATAGGAATGGAGACAAATGATGGGGGCAATATAAATATTTCATCTGTAAATTTATCAGAATGTAAGAAATCATGGTTTAAAGTTGATTATCAGAACAACAGCATCACATACATAACGAAACTAAAGGAAATAAATACTTACCACTGGGTTTTGTACATATGGTATTTTTGTTTGCTTTGAACACCATGCAGAAATATCTTTTATCAAGGAAATGACAACTTTTTCAAATTTACCACCAACACCGTCAATAATAGGTATTCTACTGAAATGACTTGGTATGGTTTCCATTGGCTCCACCAAAACAGGTATAAAAAGCACCCCTGATGGCTAAATAAATATAAGTATAAAATGTCAGAAATAACAAATTCCTCGGAAATATGTAACACAATTATTTCTGATGCTTACTTTTGTAAAGTCAAGGATTATCTGTTTTGTCTAAGACATAAAAATACATCCTACTAATATGAGATCAATAACATTACCACTGTGTCAAAAACTTGAAATTTCCCAAATATATTCTTTTAGATGAAAATGTTCTCATTGTTTGCTTTTTCACAACTTTATTCTACTGTTATATGAATGTTGACTGAGCAGTTATGGATTAAGTAATGTTTTGATGTTATTAATTTATCTTATTAATTCATAAGGTGTAAGAATCTTCCATTTCATACTTACTTTCTTAATAATGTTAAACTATATGTTTTTTTCATTTAATTTCTATGAAAAATAAGAATGTGTGTCCATATGACCATGTCCCACTGACACTTTCTTTCGCACTTCCGTGTTCAGTGAATGGACAAATTTGGGTCATAACCCAAATTTGGCATATGCTTTTTAAAAGTTCACATCAAAATGAACTTGTGTACTTATTTTCAAATTTAAGTGACCACAACTTTATGGTAAGCTATCTTAATTGAAATAAATCTTTAACTTGAAATTGGACTGACAGACAGACGGATGAACAAAATAAGAGACTGTTGTAGGCAAGACATAAGAATAAGGAACAGCATGCTGTAACTATCAAAGTTCTATGTTCATTAAACCGCAAAAGTAAATAAAACATGTAAAAGAATATCTGTTAACTTGAACCTATTATTAGCATTAATTACTAAAAATCTATATGTAAAATATGTACTGATATTCAATTGGTTACTTCAATAAAATTGAGAATGGAAACAGGGAATGTGTCAATTCCGCACCCGGATGCGGGCTTCATCTGGACTCTAAACAATAATGTATTATTAGTTCAGCAAAAATGGACGTCACACTTAACTCCGAAACATATAAATGAACCAAAATTAAAAAACATACAAGACTTACAAAGGTCAGAGGTCAAAACTGTTTGTAAAATATGTACTGGTATTAAATTTGTAACTTAAAAAACTGCTTGTAAAATATGAACTGATAATTAATTCATAACTTCATTACTGTTTGTAAAATATGTACTGATATTTAATTTGAAACTTCGAAAAAGTTTTAAATATGTATTGATATTTAGTTGGTAACTTCAAAAATGTTTATTAAATATGTACTGATACTAATTGGTAAATCAAAAACTACATTGTACAAATGTATCTGTAAAATATGTACTGATATTAAATTGGTAGGTTAAAAACTAACTGTAAATTATGTATAAGTATTTGAATGGCTACTCAAAATATCTATAAAATATTTTCTAGTTTTATCTATGCTAAACAGGCTCTACTTACATAAGCTAGATGTCTTGCCAGAGCTATATTGTACTCCTCTTGACAGACAGTAGAAGAAAAATATGCTGGGGATATCAAAGCTATGATACATTCAGCATTGTCTAATGACTCATACAAAGAGGTCTGCCACATATTTCCTATCAAATTAAAAGGTGAAAAAATAATTTGATTAAACTACAATAAAGCACAATGAAACATTTGTATTACAAGCCATGGCCAACAATATGCATAAATGCACAACATTTCCTCTTATCCTTGCTTTTTCATCAAGAAAATGATACTTTCACATGTAAGAATAAAAGGAAATGTAGGTTATATGTCAATAAGACTGACACCAAATAACAAATAGGTCTTCTTCGCATCTTTCAATTTTCCACTTCTAAAAAATTTCAATCTCCATGAGAATCTTTACAGCAAGAAATGTTTGTATACACAATTGACTATTACATTTAGTGAGATACATTACTGTAAGTTCAGACATTATCACCTACATTTTTTATTGCTAATTTTGAAGAATAGACTAAAATGAGAGATTAATTATTGCAATTTTAGGAAAATTTTGTTTTGTTTGCACTTGCACATTGGAAAGAAAGGTTGGTTATAACATATTAATTTTGCATTAGGAATGTAAGAAGCTCACTTGGACTCATGGTACTTTTTAATTAAATCTGAAGCTATTCTCTGATAAAGTTACAAGCAAAAAGGCTTATATTGTGATTAATAAATGATTCATTTATTTTGTGGATACCAATTTTCATGGATTGAGGGGAAAAAAAGGTATTTTTGTTGACATTTGATTTCAGTGTTTTTCCTAAGTGTGCATAGAAGCCTATAGAATATTTTACTTTGTTGAACATTTAAATTAGTGGTTTATTTATCTTTATCCACGAAATCCACAAAAATTGGTATCCCATGAATAATAATGAATCCAAAAAATAAAACATACCATGCATTTAATTGAAATTGATATATTATAAAACCTACCCATAGTAAGTTCACTTCTATCAAAAAATATCTTAAGATCAGAATTAGCCACAGTCATGTCGTGAAGTAATTTTTCAGCTTGTTTAGGCTGTCTGTGTGAATATGAGATGAACACATCATACTTGAATTTTTCTATATCTTCAATAGCATCCTGTGGATTTACAGGTTTAGATGAGGTAGGATTCATCACAAGTGAACAAGCTGTATCTATCTTCATGTCAATAACATCTCCTTCTTTTCTTATTCTATCAAGTAAAATATAAGAATATTTTGAGAACCAAATGATTTTTTTTTTATTATTATTATCAAAGCACTTGTACTTTTGTACATTGGATAATATGATCACTAGGTATCATTCTCTTTCACATATTGTTTAAATCAATAATTCGTGAGAACTTTATTTCTTTTAATTTGGTAATTATATAAAATGGTTACCCAGCACTTCAACTTTTGGCAAGTACATTTGATGAAATAAGGGTTTTCTGGCTTGTATTCACAGGCACTTGTCTCTGAAAAAAATCCTATATACCTTAATGTAATACACTTTGGTACCTATAACTCGCATTTTTTAGAAATGACACCCGGTTGTAAACTTTCTTTATATTTCGATTCCACGGTTGTCTATTCCACTGAAACTTGTTATGTCGTAAATCTACATTGAATTATCTACAAAATGGTGTATAACACACCTATTTCTGTTATCAGAATCATTCGTAGCAGTCCTCTAAGTAGGTAATCTGTAAATTATTTAGACTTCTCACAGCCAAATGGCAATGTTAATCTCCCAGTGAAGGATTAATTATAAAAAGTATTCCCAAAAACCTATTAGTTTTTCTCTGAATAGAACCTATCACCCAGATAGTAAATTTGTAAAAGATACCAAGATAAAAAATCTAATAAGGGTTATTTGAAGTATGTCTAATGAGTTACGAGTTTCTATTTTCAAACTCAAATTTTCCAATTCCATCAAGGTCATTCAGACTCTCTCTGGACTTAATATCAATTGATAACTCATAAAACATTTATTTTCAGCAAAAAGATTATCTTAATAATTTACGGATTACCTACATGGAAGGACTGCTATAGATATAAGAAGATGTGGTATGAGTGCTAATGAGACAACTCTCCATCCAAGTCAAAATTTATAAAAGTAAACCATTATAGGTCAAAGTACGGTCTTCAACATGGAGCCTTGGCTCACACCGCACAGTAAGCTATAAAGGGCCCCAATAATTACTTGTGTAAAACCATTCAAACAGGAAAACCAACGGTCTAATCTATATAAAAAATGAGAAACAAGAAACACTTATAAATCACATCAACAAACGACAACTACTGAACATCAGATTCCTGACTTGGGACAGGTGCAAACAATTTATATAGACTAGATATAACCCTGAATAAGTAAACATTAAATAACAAAAAAGCATTACAAATAGTATAAACAGGTCAAATTAAAAGAAAGTACAATTTGAGAGTACTCGTAGTTACTGACAGCTAGTTAAAAGCCAAAAACAATTAATAATAAAAAAAAATCATGCATCAGAGACTAAAATCAACTAAAACACATCCCAGGGATTTAGTATTTTAACGTCATGGACAGTCAAAGAAGACATGACTTGTGCAATGCCAAAAATAAATGTATCGACAGGCAGTAGGATAGTTAGGAGTTAACCTCTTAATAGATAAAAATGAACGTGGGTGTGTCTTTATACATCCCGTTTGAAAAGAATACAAATTTAGTTATGTTTTAATTTGCTGATGACAAAATCTATATTTGTGCCAATGTAAACTATATGAATGATTCTGATAACAGAAATAGGTGTGTTATACACCACTTTGTAGATAATTCAATGTAGATTCACGACATACCAAGTTTCAGTGGGATAGACAATAGTGAAATTGAAATATAATAGAAGTTCACGACCTGATGTCATTTCTCAAAAATGTGAGTTAGATACCTTGTGTTATATTGAGGTATATAGGAAATTCTTTTCAGAGACAAGTGCCTGTGCTTGTATTAAGGTTTTCAAATACCATATCAGTTTTAGATAACTAGAATGTCTGTATCATTCAATCATATGCTACCTATATACAGTTGCAACTTGCTAGTCTATTGTAAGAATTTGGTGATATACAAAAGTCAGATAGCAGTGAAATTTACATCGAAACTAAATATCAAAATCTCTTCAAAATGAGTAACATAAATCTCACACTCAAATGAAATACACTCAGAAAAGACTTCTCAGTCGATGCAAAAATTTCAAAAAAGGGAAATTTTTTATTTGGTATTTCCATGGAAAACATTTGATCCAATGCTGATTGTTGTATGAAGTTACATACGAAGGTACAGAGTTCTCACCTACAGTCAAAATACTGGACTATTTGCATATAAACTGGCATAGATTCTACTGATGATAACAGAAATGGAAACAAAACTTGTGAATTCTTTAATCTGTTACAACACATGGCCATGTTGAACTGGTCAAGACAGTCTTTACTATCGACAAATGATGGTGTCAGTATTGCAATTACTCTAAAATGTATAAAAAAGCAAATAGTAAGTTCTGGCAAATAACTTGCTGATTATGATATTCATTCATATAATACATTCTTATCTAAACATTTGTCTAATTGCTAAGTTATCATTAAAATGAGACAGAAGAAACATTTGTCTTTCAAAGTGTACCTATCAATTAGGGAAAGTAATGAGATCTTTTGTCATCTCTACAAAATTTAACGTCTTCTTGATTATAAGTATTGAATAATTTTAATTGGGAGACAATTCTAAACTAGTCACTCACCTAGTCTTCAAGAATGGCTACTTTCTAACATTGTAGACTATGATATATTCATAATTGTAGAAGTTCCTATAACAACAACACTTTAAGAATGCTCCAGTAATTTATTGAGATCGACAATAGGCCACCGTCATCAGGATAGAAAACAATACATAAAATCATGCTGATGTACAAAATCAGGTAGAGAAAATTAAAACGTCACAATGTTGCTATGGTGAGTAACGTTATAAATAGCAATTGAAAGAGAAAGTGAAAGTAAGTAAATATGGAAGTAAACTATTAAAATCAAATAAAATCAAAGCACTGAAGTACTGAACATCGGATGACCGCAAGTTCTTGTTGATGGTCAAAAGCACTGGTCACAGAATCAATTCACATCTCTATACCTGAAACTGAGGTTAATGTACAGAGATATTTTTTTTTCTATGACAATTTCGTGCGTGGATGATGAATAAATGACAGGAAATTCAACCTCACCGTAATAACTGTTATATTGTAGTGATACAAATCAGTATACACTGGTTTGTTGTTATATATTATATTAATATAACAGTTACATGTATATATAATTTTCATCCATTTGTATATCATTCTATTCTACTATTCTAATAATAGTGCAGTGCAAGTGCAAAAATTCGATTTTTCTAAAAGATTGGATATGAGTAGGCATTCATATTTTCCCGCAAAAAAACAATCTTCCATGAAGAGTTACCAGTCCTTGCCGGGATTGTCGCAAAACGTTCTTGAGATATTCTTCCGCATGCTTCAACACAATTTTTCGGTATGTGTGCATAGATATTATCAATGATATTTTACTTATATATATATATATATCTAACGACAAAACATTTTCATATTATCAATTTATGTTCTAAACAAAAATATTTTTATCAGTATTCATTGAAGAGATGTATTTATAACAAACGATAAGGAATGTTATTTTGCACTTGTTAATATTCGCGTATTTATCATGTTTATAGATCGGTTAAAAACCTAAAACGAATGTTACGCAATGGAAATCTAGGCGTTAGCAATACATCGGAATGCCCTCACGGTCATCGCGATGTAATAAAAATACAATGTTTTTGTTGTTAAAATGTTTGTAAAAAAAATTATTCTGCCATCATGTGTTAGCACTCTTGCACAGAGGAACGAATTATACAATAAATTATTAATTTATTGTATAATTCGTTCCACTGTGCAAGAGTGCTAAAACATAAGTGTTGTTGTTATAGGACCTTCTTCATTTTATGTTTTTATCGTAACGACCCTGCATACCTGAGGTATCCACTTTATGGAATCTACTGACAGAAGATTTACCAGGCGTTGGTTCACTCTTGTTTAATTTTTTAATAAATTAATTAATTATTCATAATTAAAATCTTTTTTTTGTTTTGCTTGTACATGTACTGCTTAATGGATAAAAATCACCCATAAAGAGTTGACTGACAATTTCAGATATACTGATCTCTTTGAAGACCCGGTGCTGATAATAATTTTTGCTGTTTACAAATTTCTTTACCTACTTAGGCTTTTAGCAAAAATGAAAACAAGAGTGCACACTCTGAAATGTCTCGCCTGTTTTACTCACCATTGATTTTATGTTGAAAGTCTTAAAGATAAGGGTTTACTACAAGTATCACATAAACTTAACATTTTTAAAGATCCATGGCAATGAGTTCAAGGTCAGATAAAAACTGTCAGACAGCCATGTACACCTTACAATTATTCCATACACCAAACATAGTTGACCCATTGCTTATGGTAATTGAATAACAGACCAAAACACAAAAACTTAATGTTAACCAATGAACCATGAAAATGATGTCAAGGTCAGATAATACTGGCTAGGCAGACATGTACACCTTACAATCATTCCATCCACCAATTATAGTTGACCTATTGCTATTAGTATTTGAAGAACCAAAACACAAAAACTTAACATTAACCAATGAACCATGAAAATGAGGTCAAGGTCAGATGACACCAGCTAGAGACATGTACACCTTACAATCACTCCATACACCAAATATAGTTGATCTATTGTTTATAGTACTTGAAAAACAGACCAAAACACAAAAACTTAACATTGACCAATGAACCATTAAAATGAGGTCAGGGTCAGATGACACCAGCTAGACAGACATGTACACCTTACAATCATTCCATACACCAAATATAGTTGACCTATTGCTTACAGTACTTGAAAAACAGACCAAAACACAAAAAAATAACAATAACCAATGAACCATAAAAATGAGGTCAAGGTCAGATGAAACCTGAATGCCAGTCTGACTTGTATCCCTTACAATCATTCCATACACCACATATAGTTGACCTGCTGCTTGTATTATCTGAGAAACGGACCTAATCACACAACTTTAACCTTGATCACTGTTACATGAATTGAGGTCGATGTCAGGTTAACCCTGTCTGACGGACATGTAGACGTTGCAAGGAACCCATATATACCAAATATAGTTATCCTATTACTAATAATAAGTGAGAAATTCACATGACAAAAAAACTGTAGTTTTTTTTCAAGCAGTCACTGAACCATGAAAATGAGGTCAAGGACAATGGGCATATGACAGACGGAAACTTTGTAACATAAGGTATCTGCATTCAAGGTATGAAGCATCCAGGTCTTCTACCTTCTGAAATATAAAGCTTTATACAAATAATTTACGTCATCGACGCCACTCCCCCCGGATAGTAATACCTATATCTCGCAAACTGCGACTTTCGTCGTAGGCGAGACAAAAAATGATTAAAATTCATCATTAAAGGGCCATAACTCCTCTAAGGAGTTGACTGACAATTTCAGCCATGTCCACATATTTGTAGATCTTGTCCAGCTTATCATTTTCAAAATACTAAGTTTCCCTGTATCTATTTTAGTTTTCAAGATAATAGGCAACAAAAAAAACTTGGAAGATATTGTCATTGAAGGGCAATTACTCATAAAGGAAGTCAACTGATGATTAAGGCCATGTTAACTTATTCATAGATCTTATCTTTCTTATCTTGCAGATCATTTTGATGCTGATAGTTTCTCTCAATCTGTTATAGTCTTCAAGATAATAGACTAAAATGGAGAAAAAAAATGGGTAAAATTGTCATTTAAGGACTGCAACTTCCAAAAGGAATCGTCTGACATTTTGATGAAAATGGACAGAAAGTAGATTTTGACAATCTGAACATTTAAGCCTGTCAGATTTTCTTTTTTTTTATAAAGGTTTTCAAATTAATAGATTAATAGACAAAACTTGCATTTTATCCTTATGTTCTATTTTAGCTTTGATGGCCATGTTGGTTGACAGACGGGATCATGGGACAGAGTTTATAAGCTGAATACCCCGATGATATTTGTGGTCAAGTTTTATTGAAATTGGCCCATTAGTTGAGAAGATTTTTGTGAATGTTCACAAAAGACAACTGACCACAGGTGATCGCAATAGCTCATAACTGGCCCAATGGGCCAGGTGAGCTAAAAAGTCTACAAGTGACATCTATGCAAAATCTTATATAAAAAAAATTGACTGTTCATCAATCAGAGAAGTATAGTTTAACATAAAAAAAATTTAAGTTATATACAGGTATGCTTACTTTTTACTGCAGGACATAGTTTTGAAGACGTTGTCCTGCCAAATCTTCTCTTCATCAAACTTCTGGACATCAGTATACAGTTTTAGATCTTTATCTTTAGCATGCAGTGCTTTTGTAACCATAGAAACCCAATTTTGGTCTCTTTGTTCATATGTGATGTAAATGTCATAAGTGAGTTCTTTACCACCTACCTGTAAATAACCTTGTACAGATGAAGTTAATCAATTTTTTTTGTTTTCATTACACAAAAAAATTATATTCACAATGGCATAGCAATTTGAATTTTTATCCTGTTTCAATACATACACAAATACATAAATGTAAATTTTAGATAGAGGATATAATAAGTATAATAACTGAGATTATTACACTCAACATGTAGATGGGGAGATATTTTTTAAGTAGCATAGACCAGTAAGGTGAAATTGGACTAGAGGACGTTAGCTCAAATATAATAAAAAGAAAGTGTTAAAATAAAAGAACTTATATATCTATATATAATATACCAAAAATAAAAAGAATTTAGTTGTAAACCTAATTGTACAAAAATTACTTTAGTTCAACTTGGACATTTTTACTTGCAATTTCTATAACATAAAGATCTTTTCTCCTAAAAGACCAGATGCATCAGTTTTCATTATGTGTTTAGTTGATCCTCAGTTACTCTAAACTTACATAAGATAATATATGTTCCAATTGTCATAACTACAATTCTGTCCCCTTTTACCCGAATGTGACCTACTGAATTAGACTTATCACCCCTGTCAAATGGTATTTTGAACCCCATGGAAAATTGACCCCAGGGTCAAAATACCGCTATGGTAAATTGAACCCCCCCCCCGTATGGAAAATTTACCCCCATTGTAAATTGACCCCCCTGTTCTTTTTCATTCTAGATAATTATTAGAACATTGTACATTATTTTCAAGCTTATTGTAGATTGAAAATCAGACATACAAAAAGGGGAGGTCAATTTTCCATGGTAGGTAAAAAAAAAAATACCATGGCTAATAAAAGGGTACGTTTAACATTAGCGCAATTCTTAACAGGTATATTGAACCCCCTATTATACACCTCCAATTTCAAAAATTATAGCTATTCTAACTCCTTTACATAGTAATAATACTCCAATAAGTAGTTGGTATGTATTAAACATGCTTATAAAGATGTTTGGAAAATTTTACTTAGCCATGGTATTTTGACCCCCCCCCCCCCTGCCATGGTGTATTGAACTCATATATATATTGTATATATAAAACATGTTGAAAAAGATGTTTTGACTATTTTACTGAGCCATGGTAATTTGACCCCTCCCCCTTTTTTACCATGGAAAATTTAACTCCCTTTATATGTTAGGATTTCAAATAATCAAAGCATTAAACTACATGGTCCAGTTATAATGCTTCAATAAGTATTTTGAATGAAATCATGTTGGAAAAGACTTCAGAACACTTATACCAAGCCATGGTATTTTTTTTACCTACCATGGAAAATTGACCTCCCCTTTTTGTATGTCTGATTTTCAATCTACAATAAGCTTTAAAATAATGTACAATGTTCTAATAATTATCTAGAATGAATAAAAACGGGGGGTCAATTTACCATGGGGTCAATTTTCCATGGGGTTCAAAATACCATATGACAGCAGGTAATAAACAAATTACATAATTCTAGAATTGTAAAATATTGAAAAGAAGGTAATTTTTGACCTGCAGCCTATTATTGTGTAAACTGTATGAGATCTGTGGTTGTCTACAGCTATCTTTGTCAATGTATCTGTACATTGAGAAAAAGAATGGTAATCATAGATTGTCACAACTTGTTTGTGCAATGGGTCAATTTAACGGCTGAAATATGGACTTTTGTCGAGCATTATGTCTCATCTGTTAGAGGTCATTTTTGGTTGTATTGTGTTGTTGAGTTGATATGCGCCTCAACACTCATCACTTTATACTCATATTGAAAGCTGAAACTCTGTCATCTCTTACCTTTTTTCCAGTCTTTGATGTTATTTTCTTCTTCATTGAGGAGAATAAGTTATTCAAATTGGAATCATTATCATCATAAATGACAATTTTAATGCATTTCAAGGGTAAACCAGCTTGCATCCAGTTAGCTGCTGCTTCTACCATACAACTTAGAACTTTAGATTCTGAAAATCCCTGTACAAAAATTAATTTTAAGCAAATTGGTATAAGAGTAAAAATTATATTTATTATCTTATGACACTTGATATCCTTAATAAATATCTGGATATATCAGTATTGAGTAACAGGAAGTTTTTCAAGAAATGTGACTGTTTGAATATAGAATGCACTCATTTATATGTCCCATCCTTATGCTATTGTATTACATATAAATCTCACTCATAACTACATGTACACAATGTCAATCTTTATACCACAGAAAAAAAAATATATCTAGTATTTCAGTTTTGTAACAGTATTTCATTGTTTTACTTGTAAATATTTTTTAATATACTGATTTTAATTTACTTTCATAAAAAATATGCAAATCTTCAATTACCAGCCAGCCTGGCCTTATCTGAATTGTGTAAATGAAAGCAGACAAGCTTTAAATTGTGGGCTAATGACAGAACCTTAGTTCTGTCAATATAATGAAAATTAAGTTATTTTACCTGGTTTCCAGTTCCAAGTAAAGATGTTATCAGAGTTGTCTCCTGGCTGCCACAAGCAGGAACCAGGGCTCTGAACATATCTCTCATTTGTTCAATTATGCAACCTTTAGCTCTAGATCTGTGCAATTAAAAAAGAATAGAAAATTGTTTAGAAAAAATTCTTCTTCTTTTTGATGCCCAATAGTTTGAGATTGCTATGATGTCCAATGGCCCCGTTTTGAGGACTGTTTTTTTAAGGTTTAACACCTGTCAAAATATTTTTGTCAGACTTACATCTGACCATATTGAATTTTACAAAAATAATCATAGTTCAAAAACTTGTTATATATGACACTAAACTCATTTAATCACTGTATTTTTTTTATTTATATGAAATTAGTTTATTATTGTATGAAACTTGAAAATCTTTGATCAGAAGGAAATAAAGTTGATATAATACGCTTGATTCCAATCGTTATCTTTCCGTCAAGGTGTTTGGTTTGAGGTGACGTTATTTGACGTCATTTGTGCGTTTGTTGGGCATAAAATCTACTTCAGTATGTTGAGCTAAGGGATGAATATTCTAATGGGGATAACTTCCTTATGACTGCTTCGATAACTGTTTTCAAATGATAAAATTAATAATTTCTTTAGGCATAGTTGGTTTATGTACATAAGAATAAAGATGGGTGTTTGAAAAATGCAAAAAGTCACAATTACTTTGTCAGTTCAAAGATGCAAGGATCCAGTTAGCCCATAAAATGTTTAAATGACGCAAGAAATCAGCATAAAGTAAAAGAGTATTTCTGGTAATGGAAATGATATGGATCAAACATAGTAGGAAGACTGGAAAATGTCTACAAACGCTAATATCATACTTTTAATTAATGTCTTGGTTTTTTAAATTTGTTTTCCTATAATGATATTTCTTTAAATATTTCGTAGAAATACACAAAAATACCTTTCAAAGCAAAGAAGTTTTTTAAATGGTAAGTTAGAATCCAAGTCTTTGGACATCCAACATGAAAAATGTGTTCGTAAATCCATAAGTTTATCCCTAGATAGATTGAGTACATTAATGCCTAAATTCCTCTTCAAAGCACCAATAAGGGTTCCGCCAACTGCAGCATAGTCACCTGTTTTAATAATATACCATATACATATATGCTAATATGGTCAGTATCGTTTGGTAAAAATAACAAGACAGAAATGGAAGTTCTAATTCATTAACTTAAAAGACATTTCTGACAATAATAGACCAAAACATGTTTTGAAGACTTATAAAAAGTTGTATAGAAGTATCAAAACATTTATCTGAATGAAATGAGATGTTTCACAAACTTACACGTGACAGAAACTGATTATTATTAAAGAAAACCTTTGGACCCAACATACATGCCTCTTTAAAGACAAGTGTCCTTTTATATATCCTAGGTTGAATTGACATTTTGCAAATGGATCCCGTATCAATTAACCAATTTAAGTCACATGGATAAGTATTGAAAATTTTTGATATAAATCATGTTTTAATAGTATATCCGTTTAAGGCTAAAGAACTTATCATATGGAGTACATGGTGTACATGATTTATTGTTGAAGTTCATGTGTTTGTATTTTTTTTGTTATTAGGTTGCTGTCTCATTTTGGTGTTCACCAAACATTACCTTTTATTTATAAAGTGGGCTTAAAATTAATACTTCTTGCTATATATATATATAACAATTTACAAAATATTTTTCCAATAAGAAAATATATTCAAAATGTTGATGTAATTCAGTTGTGTAAACCTGTAAACATTGAAAAGTGTCAATTCGTGGCATAAAATCACTACATGCACATATTAAACTAAAAACAAAGGACCAGCTCTTTCATATCTATTTCTATTATCTCCAGTTTATTTTTTTTTAAATTGATATATACAATGCTTTTACCTGGGAATGCTGATACCATAACAATATCCATTTTTTCCTCCTGCTTTGAGATGTCCCCATAACATAACTGAATCTGATACTCCCCAAGTGGAGTATGTACAGATATTGTGTCTTCAATCCTTATTGACATGCTGTACTACCATACATTACCATCATCAATAAACCAGGTCACTACAAAAGCAAATACCATCTTTTATCAGAGTTTATATTCAACCAATGTTTTGTGTATAAACATAAAGTGAGTCTTACATGTAAAATATTGTTCCTTATTTATACTACAATGTATGTTATCAAAATTATAGGTATCTTTTGTCAAAAATGTAGTCAATCACTGGAGTTGGATTGTAAGCATATTTTTTATTTTAAAATTTTGGTCCTCATTGTATACTTCCAGTGAGGGCCGGGGGATAACACTCTTATCCTTCTAGAGCACATGAGATCATACCAGATTTTTGGTGGGGTTTTTGTCGCTCAGTCTAGTTTTCTATATAAAAAAAAGGAGATGAGGTATGATTACCAATGAGACAACTATCCACCAAAGTTCAAATGAAGTGGATATAAGCAATTTTAGGCAACCTTAGGAACTATAACAATGAAAAAAAACAATATAGTTGCATGGCTATATAAGGCCCTGACATGAAACAATTCAATTGAGAAAACTAACGGTCTATTTATAACAAAACAATTTACGAAAAACAAGTATGACAGACATGAACCAACGACAACCACTGAACTACAGGCTCCTGACTTGGGACAGACACATAAAGAATGTGGCGGAGCTAAACATGTTTGTGAGCACTCAAACCTCCCCTAACCTGGTACAGTGGTCTTACAGCATAACGTAAGAACAAACTATAAAAATCTGTTGATGATGTGTTGCGTTAAACTTATCTTCAGTTTCGTTTTCCCTAAGATTTTTTGTTGAACATTATATGTATGTATGTATGTATGTACATGTATTTGTAGATCACATAGAAGCATACCCAAAATGTGTATCTGCATGATTATACCAAGCAGAAACAAACAATTTCCATCAAATTTGTATATGACTACTGAAAAGTATGATGATAAGTAAAATAACCATGCATCAATAACCTTCAGGGTCTAACCAGGTAGCACCTGCCACATATTATGTATATAAGATGCTGAAAATGAAGTAAAAAACTATAAATAAGTCTGATCTGGGTATGTATGCATGTATGTACTGGTAGATTCCTCCGTTATTTGGAGAACCCCTCGAGAGCTGCGAGGGTACAGAAGAATTGTGCACACTCCCTATCAGGATTAATGGAGATGTGTCACTAAGGTATTTACAACAATATTTACAAGGACAATCCCCACCCCAACACAAAGGGAGTACTAGGACACACGAAAGTCTGTTATTATGTTGGAGGAAGCTGAAGAACTCAGAGAGAATCACTGGGACACTCAGCGGGAAGACAAACCGGAGAGATATCAGAAGATTGATCTCCAGGTCAAAGTAGGGGGCAACTTTGACCAACCAAGGCCCACAAAGTACCCATTCTAGTTTAAACTCTGGTCTGGGTACCAGAGAAGTGTATGTACTGAAATTTCCAGCGCCCCGAGTCAGAATACATCTTATCGCTATTTGTCCGCCATTACAGGACATCACAAAAGTTCCCGTAAAATTTTGACGTCATAATAGAAAATATCTGACGCCACAATGGAAAAGTGATTGTTGTATGACGTCAAAAATTAAAGAGGGACAGATTCTCGGGTCAAGCGGGAATAGCGATAAGGAGTATCGAACCCGGGACATTCAGCATTGTAGCCATCAGTCTTAACCACTAGACCACACTAATAATACACACTGGGACATAATATAAATTACACCTTATCGCTATACACTTTATCGCTATTCCCGCTTGACCCGAGAATCTGTCCCGCTCGAACTTTTGACGTCATACAACAAACTCTTTTCCATTGTGGCGACAGATATTTTCTATTATGACGTCAAAATTTTACGGGAACTTTAGTGATGTCCAGTAATGGCGGACAAATACTGAAATAGCGATAATGTGTATTTGACGTTAGTCCCAGGTCTGATGTACAGATTTGTGAAAAGGTTGCATAACTGCATTAGTAAGAGTTTGTGTATTGTTGTACGATATTTTTTAAGTTTTTCTAGAAATTTAAAATTCGATAATTAGATATTTAGCAGTGTAAAATACTTTTTAGATAAATGTGCCTGCCTAGAAACATGTAAATATTTTCCCGGATATGATATTGAATATCTAATTTAGAACTCAATGACGGAAATGAAGTAATGGGTCAGAGATGAAACGACATGAAACAGAAAACAACAAAGATTAAAGTTCCAGCGAATCATTTACATAATTGATCTTTTATTTGCCTGTTATTTATTTCAAGGTATAAAACTGTCTGAACAGAGACCTGACTATTTTTCTGGTAAGAAATGAATGAAGTTTTTCAAGTTTGACCAGGCGTTTGTCTCAAGCCAGAGACATATATACACATATAACTGTTTTTATCATATGTGTATATATGTCTCTGTCTCAAGCATAGGCACTTGTTTCTATCCATGGGAAGAACCACTATCAACGTAAATATACGTTGATAGTAGTTTTTCCCTTGGATAGAAACAAGTGCCTGTGCCAGCCTGTGGTCTCATGTCTAGTTTTGGACTATTAAGGTAGTGGTTCTTCCCATGGATAGAAACAAGTGCCTGTGGTCTCAAGTCTAGTTTTGGACTATTAAGGTAGTGGCCGGTTCTTCCAATGGATAGAAACAAGTGCCTGTGGTCTCAAGTCTAGTTTTGGACTACTACCTTAATATTTTAGTCCTAAGTCGAGTAAGGTAAAAAAAAATGTTTGAACAGATGGCATAAGCTACTCTGTTAAATAATTGATCTTATATTTGCCTGTGATTTAAATTATTTCAAGGTATAAAACTGAACAGTCTACTCTACAAACTTAAATACTATGGCATACAAGACAACACTCTAAAATGGATTCAGGCTTTTTTATTAGACCATACACAAACAGTGGTTATAGATGGAATATATAACATCAAACACAGTACCAGTTACATCAGGTGTGTCCCAAGGAACTGTCCTTGGGCCTACACTCTTTTTAATATACATAAATGATTTTCCAGAATACCTCAATCACAGCAAATTACGACTCTTTGCTGATGATAGCATTATAAATGTATACTGTGAAATAACATGTCTGCGGCTGTTGTCTGCTCTGTGGTCGGGTTGTTGTCTCTTTGACACATTCCCCATTTCCATTCTCAACTTTATTTTTTACAGAGTTTGTCTTTAGTTCCGTGTCTAGACAGTAGAGTGCCTCCCCGTGCTTCAGGTTTATGCTCTTATAATATACTTCAGCCCCATTCTTCTATTTAGTTAGACGTCAGTCGCTACCTTGATATACCCTATCTTTTGTTTTATTTTTCGGGTAATTTATGACGGATAGAGTTTGACTTCTTTAGCCGAACAGTTTTATCATATTCATATAATTCAATTTATTGTGTGCTGGTTCATATTCTGGACGCCAGTCTTTGTTCCTTTCTAATAAAATCCACATAACAAAAAAATTAGGGGCCAGCTGAAGGACGCCTCCGGGTGCGGGAGTTACTCGCTGCATTGAAGACCCATTGGTGGCCTTTGGCTGTTGTCTGCTCTGAGGTAGGGTTGTTGTCTCTTTGACACATTCCCCATTTCCATTCTCAATTTTAAGATTGCACAAAAATACAAGTGGATCTAAATGCGGCTGTAAAATGGGAGGCTGATTGACTCATGGCCTTCATTCCTGGAAAATGCACATTTCTAACCATCACACAGATTTAAAGAAACAATTCAAACACAATTACATCCTGCATAACCATTCTTTAGAACCAATAACATCATCAAAATATCTCGGTATTACCTTGCAGTCAAATTTAAAATTGAACAATCACTACCACAATATCATACCAAATGCAAACAAATCTATTGCATTGGCTTCCTGTCAGTCAGGGGTACTACTTGTACAAGTTATTTTTATTTACTTGAAGAAGTAAAAATTAATATACTAATATAAGTAAATTTTTAAGATACTTATACAAGTGTATTTTATTTACTTGTATAGTAAATTATTTTAATGGCTTAGTTATGTCCCTTAGACATTCAGATTGTTTTACTTATACAAGTAAAAAAAGTCATACTGTCTTCTTTTCTTGAATTTCTCAGGACTTCTTTGCTCTAATAGAATTTTTAATTGTCTGTCCTTTGCAGGTTTCTTAACTTATCATTTACGTGTAATTTCATGGACAATGAAAATCTCATTTGTCTGTTATCTTCAAAACACTGCTCATTTACAAGCCTCCAAGGGGCAATATCTGTAGGCCTTGCGCAATTACTTAAGATCTTTGCTCAATTAGTTTCTTTGTTGAATTAATGAGATGAAACGTTGAACTCTAATGAAAAATTATGAGCTAACCAGAGAAAAATTGTTTCAGGCATGTTTTTACCTCCCAAAACTTGAGAATTTTAGGGATTGTAAAAATAAATTACGTATACAAGTAAATTTTTTGAGAAAATTAAGAGGAGATTATTCAAACCTTAAAAGAAAATATGAATTTAACAAATTTACTTGTATAAGTATATTATTATTTACTTCTTCAAGTAAATAAAAATAACTTGTACAAGTAGTACCCCTGAATGCCTGTAGAGAAACCTAAAACTTTCAAACACCAACATCAAATCCAGTGCATACCAGTCCATAGTGAGACCAAAACTTGAATACTCCTGTAGTTTATGGGATCCACACACAACAGAATACAAGAACAAACGAGAAATGGTACAGAGGAGTGCTGCCCGTTATGTATATAACAACTCTATAACACTAGTAGTGTTACATCCGTGATAAACCATCTTCAATTGCCCTCACTTGCTGAGCACTGCACAAATGGTAATTAATTATGTTGTAGACATACATGTATACAGTTATGTGCAGCAGTATCTCAGTGCATATCAAAGAAGTTCTTTATCTGTGCCTTATTATTTTTATCATTTTAAAATTGACTGACTCTGATTAAATATTAAATATTTTCTTTAAGCAGATGGCTCCTGTTCCTGAAGAAGGGGAACATAATGCCAAACCGGCAGACACAGAACTTTTAGATGACATACCAGTTCCAGATGTGTTCATAGATGCTATTAATTCAGATAGTGAAGATGATGATTCTGAAGATGGTTTCCAAGGATATCAAATGTTGCCCCAAGAAGTAGAGGAAGATGAAGGATCAGTAGATGACGATTCTCATGATGAAATAGGCATTTCTCAGATAGATGAGGTAATGAGAAATAGTGGTGTCCATGTTCAGGCAGGAGGAGGAGCCCCTTCCTATATGCAGGTAGTGAAAATACCAAACTCATTTATTATTTTATAAGGAAACTAATTTTCATAGAGTTCATGGGTAAAGGTCAATCACAAATTTAAGTATCTGACAAGCTAGCACAAAAGATATTTAAATTTTATTCAGTACGGACTTTCATCTAAACTAAGTGTTATCATTGTTTATTGTTCATAGCTTGGTTGACTTTTTATGATTAAGAGATAATGTTTGAATCCAAAGTGGAAATAATATTTTACTGATAAGTGGCCTTCGATTTTCTTTGGAATTGATATACAGTCTTTTTGGGGCCCTTTATAGCTTGCTGTTCGGTGTGAGCCAAGGCTCCATGTTGAAGACCGTACTTTGACCTATAATGGTTTACTTTTATAAATTTTGACTTGGATGGAGAGTTGTCTCATTGGCACTTATACCACATCTTCTTATATCTATTGGATTGCATTTTTTTACATCAATAGATTTATTAAACCTTCATAAAAGTTTTGAAATTTGGAAATAAGCTTCTTCAAACACAATAAATAGCATCTAAAGAAAGAATTACATATTAAAAATAAGTTTCCTGTATTTTACTGGATGATAAATGGATGTAGTTTTAAGCGATAAACATTACACTTGCATCAGCATTTGCATTTGCAGGCAAGACGCAGAGTTCCAAGAAACCCTTTACAAGTTTTTATATATATCATGTATGTGACACACTCACCTGACTTATACTTAATGCTCACACTCATTTTTTAAACCAATTCTTGATAGTGACTATAACTCATGGAGGGATTATGCATACATATGTATACACAGGTAATGCTGGTATATTGTAACTCAAAAAAATACTACAAATAGGAAATTTACATCAATCTGAAACCATCATGTTTGTCACAAATTAATTAAACAACCCATGGTGTTCATTGATAAGTGTATGTTCTGGTATGACTTACATGCCCTTTGTTTTATGTTTAATAAAATTACAATTCTTGCATGCCATTTATTATGGTAGTAAAGTTATGACCACAAATTGACTGGAATTTTTTGTTATACAGATAACCCATTAGGATTTTTTGTGTGTTAGGAATCACATAAGTATCATACATTGTATTTGACCAGCTTTAATCATACATGCAAATGAATAATTAAATACATTTCAGTGTTTTCAAAAAGAGTAAATTTAACTCCTCAATCTAATTGAACTACATGTTAACTTATGTATAAAGGAATCTGATGTTTTCCTTAAGAACCAATCATATACATGTCACGGCATGTGTCCAGTTTGTTTAATTAAAAAAAAACATTGGAAATTTACAAAAACAGCCAGAAGGGAGAAGTTTGACCTCTTTGTTTTGTTTTACAAACAGATTTCTACAATTAATGAATACAGAATACTTGGTTTATGATTATTTTGTCATCTTTTTGGTTGATTTTATCTTTTTGTTTAGAAACATAAGGTCATGATGTGTGAGCTAATTCATAAAGCCTGATACAAAAGCATACTACAAAATGTTATTCTCTTCCTTTTAAGGTGCCTGAACTCCCTAAACCAGACCCACACACTTTACTTTGGAATCAGAAAGGGGAAGAAGACAGAATTGACTTTGATGAAGGTAATTTGCTCTGATGTACATTGTATATCACATATAAATTGTTAAATGAAAATATATTGATGGCCCAATTTTATAGAAACTAGAGGCTCTCAAGAGCCTGTGTCGCTCACCTGACTCTACTTTGGTTTTAGAAATCATGTAAAGATAGATAAAAATCATAACAGATACCCAAATAATGATTGAGGCCAAATTTGGTTTAATATTGGTCCCTTTATTTAACAAAATATCCTGGTGGCCATCTTGAACAGTAAATCGGCAACAAAGTAGCAACACTTGGTCAGCACCTCATAAGGAACATTCATGCAAAGTTTGGTTTCATTCCATTCAGTGGTACTCTAAAAGAAGACATTTGTATGTATTTCCCATAGGGTCCTATGTTAAACTAAGTCCCCCCCCCCCCCTGGGTGCCATCTTGGATGATGGACTGACTGCAAAGTAACAACACTTGGTCAGCACCTCATAAGGAACATTCATGCCATGTTTGGTTTCATTCAATTCAGTGGTTCTCTAAAAGAAGACATTTGTATGTATTTCCCATAAGGTCCTATGTTAAACTAAGTCCCCCGCTAGCAGCCATCTTGGATGATGGATCGGCTGCAAAGAAACAACACTTGGTCAGCACCTCATAAGGAACATTCGCGCCATGTTTGGTTTCATTCCATTCAGTGGTTCTCTAAAAGAAGACATTTGTATGTTTTTCCCATTGGGTCCTATGTTAAACTACAAAAAATGTAAGTCCCCCGCTGGCAGCCATCTTGGATGATGGATTGACTGCAAAGTAACAACACTTGATCAACACCTCATAAGGAACATTCATACCATGTTTGGTTCCATTCCATTCAGTGGTTCTCTAAAAGAAGACATTTGTATGTATTTCCCATAGGGTCCTATGTTAAACTAAGTCCCCCCACTGGCGGCCATCTTGGATAATGGACCAACTGCAAAGTAACAACATTTGGTCAGCACCTCATAAGGAACATTCATGCCATGTTTGGTTTCATTCCATTCAGTGGTATTCTAAAAGAAGACATTTGTATGTATTTCCCATAGGGTCCTATGTTAAACTAAGTCACCCACTGGCGGCCATCTTGGATGATGGATTGGCTGCAAAGTAACAACACTTGGTCAGCACTTCATAAGGAACATTCATGCCATGTTTGGTTTCATTCCATTCACTGGTTCTCTAAAAGAAGTCATTTGTATGTATTTCCCATAGGGTCCTATGTTAAACTAAGTCCCCCGCTGTCGGCCATCTTGGATGATGGACCGACTGCAAAGTAACAACACTTGGTCAGCACCTCATAAGGAACATTATTGCCATGTTTTGTTTCATTCCATTCAGTGGTTCTCTAAAAGAAGACATTTGTAAGTATTTCCCTTAGGGTCCTATGTTAAACTAAGTCCCCCGCTGGCAGCCATCTTGGATGATGGACTGACTGCAAAGTAACAACACTTGGTCAGCACCTCATAAGGAACATTCATGCCATGTTTTGTTTCATTCCATTCAGTGGTTCTCTAAAAGAAGACATTTGTATGTATTTCCCATAGGGTCCTATGTTAAACTAAGTCCCCCGCTGGCGGCCATCGTGGATGATGGACCGACTGCAAAGTAACAACACTTGGTCAGCACCTCATTAGGAACATTCATGCCATGTTTGGTTTCATTCCATTCACTGGTTCTCTAAAAGAAGACATTTGTATGTATTTCCCATAGGGTCCTATGTTAAACTAAGTCCCCCGCTGGCGGCCATCTTGGATGATGGATCGGCTACAAAGTAACAACACTTGGTCAGCACCTCATAAGGAACATTCATGCCATGTTTGGTTTCATTCCATTCAGTGGTTCTCTAGAAGAAGTTCAAAATGTAAAAAGTTAACGACGACGACGGACGATGACGGACGACGGACGCCAAGTGATAATAAAAACCTCACTTGGCCATACGGGCCAGGTGAGCTAAAAACGGATAACACATTAATAATCATTAATTGAAGATATTGATGCTATTGACAACATAATTGATCAGAATACTGGTGAAATGGTCTTTTTGAATTATGAGTTTGTTTATCCTTGTCAACCAACAAAAATACTATCATTACTCAAATTTGAAAATTTTAGAAAAATAAATTATGTACCTAATCAAACTGAACAGTTCTAGTTTTACAGTATTTTCTGTTGGAAGTATCAAGCCATGGTCATTAAAAATCAGAATTACCAATTCTCAATTTTTCACAACAAGCATTGCATTGGTAGATCTGGTTGTTTTCTTGCACTATTCATGACACTGCTGCTTGAATCTAAATGCAAGTACAGCTGCCCATATAAGAGAGTAGGACTGCATGATTTCGGTAGCACTTTGAGTTATAAGCTATCTTTCAGTATATAAGGTTCTGGATGGGGTTTACAGAATAGAGAATAATGGGCAAAATGTGCAGAATAAAGGGCTAAAAAAAATAAAGAATAGAGAAAAATAGGCAAAAGAAATAAAGAATAGAGAATAATGGGGTGCTAAAATATAAAGAATAGAGAATAACAGGCCAAATTTATAAAAAATAGAGAAAATGGCCTAAAAATATAAAGAATACAGAAATGAAGGACCCCATCAACACCCTTGTATATGCAAAAGTAGAGAGAAGATACCAAAGGGCAATCAAAAATTACATATCACTATGGCAACATGAACCCTGCCAAAAATAGGGGGGGGAATCAAAGTATGATGTGATTTATATTCATGTAACACATGTTTCTGGAATAACCTACATCAGGTACAATTGAGACTTGATATCAGTGAAAAATGTAATATTAAATTACCTTTTTATGCCCCCGCCGTAGCAGAGGGGGCATTAAGTTTTACCCTTGTCCGTCTGTACGTCCGTCCGTACGTCCCAAAGTTGGTTTCCGTTCTCTAACTTAAGTTTGCCTCAACCAAATGATATGAAATTTATACACAATGCTTATTACCACAAAACACAAATCAAGTTAGAATTTTGGTGGCGTCACTTTAACCGTTCTAGAGTTATGCCCCTTTATAAATGGAAAACTTGCAAAATATTTAGTTTCCGTTCTCTAACTTAAGTTTGCCTCAACCAAATGTTATGAAACTTATACACAATGCTTATTACCACAAAACACAGATCAAGTTTGAATTTTGGTGGCGTCACTTTAACCGTTCTAGAGTTATGCCCCTTTATAAATGGAAAAATTGCAAACTACAATCAATGCTTTATACATTGCAATGATTAATTTTGACTTCCACTGATAAAACACAGATCAAGTTGAATTTGGGTAGTGTCACTTTAACCATTATTGAGTTATGCCCCTTTATAAATCGAAAGATTGCCAAATTTTTAGTTTCCATTCTGTAACTTAAGTTTGCCCCAACCTAACATTATGAAACCTATACACAATATTCATTACAACAAAACTAAGATCAAGTACAATTTTTTTGTTTCCGTTTTCTAACTTTAGTTTGCCTCAACCAAATGTTATGAAACTTATACACAATGCTTATTACTACATAATACAGATTAAGTACGAAATTTGGTGGCGACACTTGTACCATTCTAGAGTTATGTCCCTTTATAAACATAAAAATTGCTGAATTTTTTGTTTCCATTCTCTTACTTTAGTTTGTCTCAACCAAATGTTATAAAACTTATACACAACAATTCTAGAGTTATGCATGTTTACAAATAGAAAAATTGGTGAATTTTTAGTTTCTGTTCTCTACTTAAGTTATCCTCAACCAAATGTTATGAGACGTACACACAATACTTAATTACCACAAAACTCAGATCAAGTTCAAATTTGGGTAGCGTCACTTTTACCGTTCTTCAGTTATGTCCCTTTATAACTATATGATATGCAAGCGGGGGCATCATCTGTGTCCACATGTGGACACTATCCACATTTATTTTTAAATTGGGTAGTATGGAGTTATAAATTTGTAAACTTGTATATCTAGTCGATTCTTGTGTTTATGCACATCTTTTATTATTCAAGTGTGAAATATCAATATTTTGCTTCTGTATGCCTCTCTTATAGTACAACACAATACTGGCACATTTTGGTCTTGTACATACATGATATGTTTTTGATGGCACACTCTATATTCGGCAAAAAGCAATGTAGAAAAAAATGTCAACAAGTGTACAACTCAGCAACAGTAAAATTCCCCCAAAATATTTATTTTTAGATAAAACACAATTTATTTATTTTATATTCATCAATTTCATGATAAATTTTATTTCAGAAAATGCAGAAAAGATCAAAACTGTTATGAAGAAAATACAACTCCCTTTGTGTAACATTCCTGACTGGGCCAAAGATATACCAGAGGACCAATGGAAAGAAAAAATAGCAAAAATGCAAGACAAAAATTCATAGCATTATTTATATGTATATTTTGTGTATTGTATGCAATACTTGTGTAATGCATGATGCTGTATGTGCAATGAATGTTATGGATGAATGTAATGTGATATAGGTATTAAATATACTAGATTTTTTTTTATTGTTTTTCTTGTTCTTAGCTCATCTGGTCTGTTAGAACCATTTTATCTCTTATCATGACTTTGCACCTTCCATCTGTTATATTTTTTTTTCTTTGGCTGTCCTCTAGAGAATTTTAGACTAAATTAGCATAATTTGCTACCACAAGGTAATTTGAAAATAGACTTTTGACAAATTTCCATTGAAGTTATGCAAGAAAACTTGATCTGAAAGTAGTTCTTTGATTTTCTGGTAACTGATAAGTTTAATAATATTAATGACAGTGTTATCACAGTACATGGGTTAGTAAATATAGGGTTTCATACAGCATAAAACATGAAGAGAGAAAACAATTTAATTTTCATAGACAATGAATGTGATAAACCATTTAAGGCTATTTTCAAAAGAACAGTACTATTCAAATTACAATTCTATGTTGCTTTCTGAGTTTGTAATAGCTTACAAAATAGATATTTGGCCTTGAGATTTGAATGGTAAGTTTATGTCAGTAATACCAGAGGAGTTGATTAATTTGGCTTCATTTCTCAAGGATAAATATCTTTTTTCTAGACTATGATAGGAACTGAAATGGCATGATAGAATTGTAGTTTGACTGGTTCTGGTCTTTTGAAAATAGTCATAAATCTCAGCAAAACTTTGGTTATCTCCTTTTACGAGCAACTTAGATATAATTTTATATATTAATATGACACATTACACGACTATTTCATAATTGATTTTTGTTACCTTGACCTCATTTGCATTCTACTGTAGGAAATATGAATAAAAGCCTTATCAGATAAAGAGGGGTTAATCATCTACAATATATGAATAAATATTTACCATTTGTTAACCCTCTGATCTAGGATAATAGGATGAGGGTGGAATGCTTGTCCAGAACTAATCTACCCCTGTGATACGTTCTGGGACCTTGTTCATTGTCATATATCATGAAACAAAGTCTTCAACAATAAACACGAGTTTATATAATATGTTAAATTGCCGAGAGAATTCTAGAACTGCACATTAAGTCAGGGTCAGATGAACCATGAAAGTTTAAAAACAGAAATAGAACAAACCATGAAAAAAATCCTGACCAATGAACCATAAAAATGTCAAATTCAGGCGAAATCTACCAGACAAACTAAAAATGTCCATCTGTCTGTTTATCCAACAAATATTATTTTCACACTTTTCTCCAGAGCAAATGAATAGAATGACTTCTTTCATGCTTAGCACCTTGATAGTAAAGCGATGTAAGGTATGAGCAATTTCAGATATGTCATAAACCTACTTCCTGTTTGACGACACTTTGAACTTTTAAATATCTTCAATAAAACCCACTTTTCTCAGGAACCATTATACAGAATGACTTCACATTTGGTCAGCCTCTTGACAGTGATGACTTGTAACATGAAAGGGCATTCTGACTGTCCCACTTCCTGTTTTAGACACTATGAATTATAAGTGTGGTATGCTTTGCACAGCAATGCATGTAACTTCTTGTTTAAAGTTTTATTTTGAACACAAGAGTTCAGCTTTGACTTCACAGATGAGATATTTTCAAAAAAAAAATGTAAGTCATTGACATTTTCTTCTGGGGAAAACCATACCTCATAAAAATTATTTCTTGGACAAGAAATGTTTCAAGGAAGATGAATCAGGGTAGATCTATTTAGCACACTATATTTGGATTTGTTCTAAAAAAATTTCTCTTAAGAATCTGTTCCTAAGTGAATTTTCAAACTATTCACTGCCAGAATTTGTTATCATTTACTGAATGAAATATCTTAGCACCATTAAAGTCTCTGAAATACCAAAACTAAAATATCATCAACATTAATGTTTATATTACATTGCTTTTTGGTACATGTTCATTTTTTTCCTTTTCTTAATAAGTGGTTTATTTCATGATACAAAAGCAATTTGGTCAGATTTTTAATGAAGTGCGATAGATAGAATGGGTCAGGTCAAATATTCCTCTTTTTCATGACCAACTTCTCAAAATCAAATTGTTTTTAAAGATGGAATTTAACTAGATATTGGTACTTGAAAGGTGTAAAGCATTATTGTGTTTCTGCCCAGTATGGTTACATGATCAATGAATATAAGAAACCAGAGGCTCCAAGGAGCCAGTATTGCTCACCTGGTTCAGAGTAACCAAGAATCTGAATTTACAAATGTGATACAACTTGCAAACTGAAAAAAAATAATGAAAATTTGACACATAATAATGACTACATTATATTAACACAAGATTGCACACATTGAAATGTCTTGCCTGCTTTATTGATCATGATTGAATTCATGATCCATGTAAATGAGGTAAAGGTCAAATGACCCTGTCAAATAGACATGGAAGCCTTACAATCATTCCATACACCAAATTGCATCTAGTACCTGAGAAACAGATCTAACAAAAGAAACTTAACTTGACCAATGAACTAGGAAAATGAGGTCATGGTCAGATGAACTCGGCCAGACAGAAATGTACAAGTTCCCATCATTCCATATACCACATATAGTTAACATACTGCTTATAGAAGTTATAGTATCTGAGAAACGGACTTAAACATGAAAACAAAATGCTGACTTTTGAACCATGAAAATGAGGTTAAGGTCAGACAGCCATGTAGACCATACAATCATTTCATCTACAAAACATAGTTGACCTATAGCCTGGTATACTGGCTCTTTGCTTGAAAGTAGAGCCAGACAGATTACAAGGGCAGTTATTCATTTATTGAATGTTAGAACGATGTACTTTGGGATAGCATCATTTATTGACACATGGTGAGAAATATTTACCGGTATATAGCAACCAATTTGTTGTAAATTATTTTAAAGTTCATGCATAATGCAATTTTCATTAAAAATAAAGTAATAATAATCCAAACCTTACTGATTTAAATCATAAATCTACAATTAATTCATGATCCAATAGATATATTAATTCTTTATATAACCAGCACATGCACAGTAATTAAGTCCTGTTCAGCGCTGAAAGGTGGTCACATGAAAGGTATACATCTGGCCTTTCTAACGCAAAGAGGAGGTTGGGCTAGGATGCCTGGCAAAGTTGACCTTACTTGAAGTACTTGAGAAACAAACCTTACCATGAAAACTTAACATTGACATATTAACCATGAAAATTAAAGGCCATATGAAGTATAAACTCTGCCAAACAAAAGTGTACACCTTGCAATCATTCCATACACCAAATATCGTAGACCTATTGCTTAAGTTTCTGAGAAACAGACTTAACACAAAAACTGAACATTAAACAATGAACCATGAAAATGAGGTCAAGGTCAGATGGACTGCCAGACAGACATGTACACTTTACAATTGTTTCATACACCAAATATATTTGACCTACTGCTTAAAGTATCTGTAATTCAGACTTGACCACGGAAATGATTAGATCTAGAATACATGAACAATAATATTAATATTTATTCCACAAAATTTTGACACAGAGGTACAAACAGATTTCAGTTAGAAACATTCAATGTAATTCATATTTTTCCTTTCTTCAAATCTTGTCTTTTCTCTTCAAGCTCAACCACTCTGGCTCTCATTGCCAACATTTCTTCATCTGGTATGTAAAGATCATCATCTTCAACAAGATCAGGCTGAAAATAATGACCCAAATTAAAGCTAGTAATACAAATGCAAAAATCTCACTTTTTATCAAATTCTTGATTTTTATTTTATTCTGCAATCATCCAACTATTGTACAAGTAACAGGTAAAATAAAAAGGTAGGGCCAATTTCCCATTACTTTGTTTTACTCAAAAACCCTTTCTAAAAAGTCTTCCAATCATTAGCATAATTCATAGAATGACAGCTGCTTCATGTGTGTACTTTGTGGGCCATGTTGACCTCTTTGTAGATCTTGTCCTGCAGATAATTTTTGTTACATACAGTTTCTCTGTATCTACAATAATTTCTGCAAAAACACAAACAAAGAGACTATTTTCCTTAAAGGGCAATAACTCCTATATGGAGTCGTCCATTGATGTTGAATTATTTTTAGATCTTGTCCTGCAGACCACCTTTGCTATTTACAGTTTCTCTGTAGAAATGTCAGTAGATTTTAAAATTCCTGGCCAGGTCAAACCCTAACTTGAAAATTGATATTTGCAGCTTCTCAGTTCAACATGCGGCAATTAGGAGTTGGAGCAAAGGAGATTGTCCTTGGTCAGAATAATGTGTAGGGGTAAGGTGACATGTCTTCCTGCAGAAACTAGCATGTTAAAATTCTGCTCAGCATGATGGTTTAGAACAAAGCAGGGTTCAGATTCATGTTAACATATTCTCTTCCTGAATAAGCATTTAACTTGCCACTAGATATTAAACCGCCATCTTTCATCATCATCTAGCTATTATACTTTTCAAGATAATAGCCAAAATCACAAAAAAAATCCAATTTTTAAGGATAATAACTCCAGTAAGGAGTCAAAATAGGTAGAAGGTAGTTTTTGACATTCTGAAGATATCTATAAATTTAAACCTTGGTGGCCATGTTAGTTGGCAACTGGGACCATCTGACAAATTTGGGCCAGTTGAGCTAAAAAAAAAAAAAATTATTTCCATCAAATTATTGTTTAAACTAACTTGGAATTTTAGCTAGAAAAGGGGGCATATATTACGGCTTTTAGAAACCTATTACTTTGTCATCTCCCCATTTAATTTCCATTTAAATGATAGGTAAATTTTACCAAGTTATTGTTATGACCAATAAAAATTTTATCAGCTGTCAGGTTTGATTTATCAACAAGGATTTCTAATGTATGAACCATACTGCAAAATTATCCACAAACACTCAATCATTCAATGTAGGTCATGGTGGCCAAAACGTCACTGACAAGTGTTGTTTTAAATAAGGGGTTTAAGATAAGTTTTGTGACATATTTTTTTCTAACTTATCTAATAATAGTCACATTGTATATATTATTTTAGAAATTATAATTACTGATGTACCAGGTATAAATTGAACCTAATATTTCTTATCTTATATTGGTCACATCCTCATTGTCCACTGATAAAGACGTACATTAATTTTTTTTCATTCTTTGCACTTAAATACAAAGAAATAATTCCTGGAAAAACTTAAATATAAAACAGATTGAAATGAACAGATAGCAATATTAAGATAAGTTCAATTCTTACATAATGGTCATCTCCACCCAATATAGAAACTACACACAGTCCCAGATCTTAAAAGTACTGAAGCTCATGTCATTACCGATTTTATATTTTAGCACATATACTGTAACCAAAATGAAGAAACTAACCTTTTTTATAGTTACTTCTATGCCAGGTGCTGCATTTAATTTCATAGCATCTATGAATATTGGCAATAATGTTGAAGGTACATTTTCTATCTGAAATAAGTTTTTAAGACAGTCTTAATGCTATGGTATTGTAAAGTTGTTGACAGCTACATTGATTTTATTGTGGCTAAATAAATCTACTCAACTTAAAAAAAAATCCTCTAAAAGTAAATTTTGGTTAATACTAGTCCACACAGATTTCAGATACCGTATTCAGACTTGTATAGTCCTTTGTATTTTTTTTCTCCAAAATTAATATTGCCAGACAGGGGTGCAGATTATAGGGTAAGATAAGCAAGAAATAAGAGAATCAACAGCTGCTCCATGAGTGCATGATACGCCCGTCACTTTTTCAAAGAATAAAGTTCAATAACTTCTCAATGTCATATCAGAAATTTATAAAAACTAAAGGGAGGTTATCTTAATAGATATAAACCAGTCACCAAAGTTTCATGAAAACTGCTCAAAGCACTTTTGAATTATTGTCTGAAAACTGGAAAATCACCCCTTTTTATGAATAAAATCCCATAACTCAGAAACATAAAATCTAAAATTTATAAAAATCGAAAGGGAGCTCACATCAATATATATAAACAATTACCGAAGTTTCATGCAAATTGGTGAAGTGTTTTTGAGCTATTGTCCGAAAACTGGAAAATCCCCACTTTTTTAATGAATGAAACCCCATAACTCGGAAACGTAAAATCTAAAATTTATAAAAATCGAAAGGGAGCTCATGTCAATAGATATAAACAATTCACCAAAGTTTCATGCAAATTGGTTAAAGCGTTTTTCAGTTACTGTCCGACATGTTGTCGATTTCGGGAGGTTTTTTTACGCTTCGCCATGTTTGGTATTGAAAATGTAGAGGGCACCCTTATAATTTTCAAAACTAATAATTTACCTCATCCATATTAATATGCAAATTTAATTCAAAATCCAATATTAACTGATAAATATCAAAATAAAATGCTTCATTACAAATGACTTGTTACTTTTCTTAGCATTGCGTAACATAAACTGGAATCTGCTTGTATTTACCGGTATGAAAAAAGTTATATAAATCAACCAGCTTATGCATTACAATGTATTAGCTACAAAACGTAATCAATTATTTCTTCTGTGTTGGGAGTTTCATACTGACGCATGCGTTTTGTTTTAGCGGAAGATCATTCAAACACAAGAAATGATTGTAACAGGATGCTGTTACGAAGTCTCTCAAACGAAGTTCCCATAATTCGTCATTCCCAGGTTCGCCTGACATTGGGCAAAGTCCAGTAAAGTTATATGCATTAGTAATGCCTGGGGACTGACCCTGTATATCATTCAAATCATCTTGGCATGACAAACCAGAATATATATGGTTTACGGGTGGGGATCTCGACCACTTACAAGATATTAGATCATTGGGGGTGGGGGACCCCTGGGGTCTGACCCTATATATCTTTTGAATCTTTGTGACATGACGAACAGGAATATATATGGTTTAGGGGTGGGGATCTCAACCATTTGCAAGATATTAGAACTTTATCAAATGGCAGGGGGTGGGGGTGATCCCTAGGGACTGACCCTATATATCATTCAAATCTTCTTGGCATGACGAATAAGAATATATATGGTTTAGGGGTGGGAATCTCGACCATTTACAAGATATTAGGTCATTGGGGGTGGGGGGATCCCTGGGGACTGACCCTATATATCATTCGAATCTTTGTGACATGACGAACAGGAATATATATGGTTGAGGGGAGGGGATCTCAACCATTTACAAGATATTAGAACTTTCTCAAATGGCAGGGGGTGGGGGTGACCCCTGGGGACTTACCCTTTATTTCATTTGAAGTGCTTTATCATGACAAACCAGAATATATATGATTTAGGGGAGGGGATCTCAACCATTTACAAGATATTAGAACTTTCTCAAATGGCAGGGGGTGGGGGTGACCCCTGGGGATTAATACTTTATTTCATTTAATGTGCAGTATAATGGCTCACCGGAATATATATGGTTTAGGGGTAGGGATCTCGACCATTTAAAAGATATTACAACTTTCTCAAATGGCAGGGGGTGGGGGTGACCCCTGGGGACTAATAATTTATTTCATTTAATGTGCAGTATCATGACTAACCGGAATATATATGGTTTAGGGGTGGGGATCTAGACAACTTACAAGATATTAGAACTTTCTCAAATGGCAGGGGGTGGGGGTGACCCCTGGGGACTTACCCTTTATTTCATTTGATGTGCTTTATCATGACAAACCAGAATATATATGGTTTAGGGGTGGGGATCTTGACCACTTACAAGATATTACAACTTTGTCAAATGGCAGGGGGTGGGGGTGACCCCTGGGGACGAACCCTTTATTTCATTAGATGTGCTTTATTATGTAGAACATTTTCAATCATATAGATTGTGTCTATCACTAACGGTTTTCAAGTTATAATTATTTGAAAAAAAAATTTAAAAAATCCCATAGGGTTCTATAGTAAACCCCTCCCTTCTTTTGGCCCCTCAAAGTACCCCTTTTTAGACCCCAATGCACAAACGAAACCCTGATTGCACCACTAGACATGTTAATCTAACATATTGTGAAACCGTAAGTAAATCTGACTAGCGGTTTTGGAGAAATGGTGCGGACAAATTCATTAAAAAAAGTGGCGGAAGAGCAAGAATAATAATAATAACTGAGCAAAACCAATAAGTCTTCCCAAACTTCGTTTGGGAGACTTAATTAATGTAATGGATATATTTAATAGTATTTAACTAAAGAACGGAACTGTTTCAAAATCATATTCTAGTAATAACTAATTTTTGAGTTCAAGTTTTTAGGCCTGGTTTTGGTGTGCGTATAGCACATAGTAAATACTGTTGACTGGTTGATGATATATGGTGTCGAAGATACAAATGGTGTCATTGTTAATATGGTAACAACTTGATGTTTGCTGATATCAATTACAACGCCTGAAGTTGGTGAAATTATCCGTTACAAATATACAAAACGTCTGTTAAAATATATGTCAAAGGAATTAAGCAGTCTGTGCAGTATCATGCAGTTTAAAGTCATCATGGCTCATTGAAGTTATTATTGCAGTAAAATTATATAATCTAGTGTTCTTTTCATCAATTCAGAATCAACCAAAAATGTGTGAAAATAGTTGTATCTGTCCATTTAACGAATAAAAGAAATCCAAGGGGAACAACCCAATTTTATATCTACAGTACATGCAACAGTCAACCTTACCAATTAGTGTGCAGAGTTAATGAGGGTGTGAAGACTGAAATCATTTTGTTTCATTTTTCATATTTTAACATTATATTTAGTTCCATTTTGTGTGTGTTTATTTGGTTACATTTGTGTTTATTCATTTCATTATATCATTTATGTTGAATTTACTTTATTTATGTTTTGTTTTATATTAAGGTTATATTTAAATTTAGTTTTGTATGACATTGGTCACTTGACAATCCAAAGATCTTACTTCATTACACGCACTCTCAACGTAATTATTTTCGATTTACAAGTGCTATACGAACTTCTGATTAATAACTTACCCAATGGTTTATTTGTGATTCTGACTTATCTAAACACTTGTGGAGTGTTCAAGAATCATATACAAGCATTTTCAACTTCTACTTCATGATGAAAAACAGGGTTTTTCATGAGAATACTGCAAACGATCACACACGATTTGAAATTACTGGAGTTTCATTAGACATTTTCAAGCAGTCACACAAAGTTTTTTTTTCCTGAATTCTCATGGCGAAAAGGGGGGTGCGGACAATGTACCAGTGCGGACTTTACAAGCCTGAATACGGTAATATTTTAATGTATATTCCACTAAATTTGCAATATATACATCTCCATTCTGCAGTGAGACAGGAATCGTAAAGTCTAGCAGAGTCATCTAAAATGATTTTTGAAATCATCTTAGTAGTTTTTTGCTTTATGAACTACTGAATAAAACAGTTAAATCCCAATTTTGTTATCTTTAGTTACAGTGGTCATCTTAACATGGCAACAATTTCAATATGGTCTTGAAGGGTGTATCTTGCACTGCAGGCACAGCGTGATTGACTTTCTTCCCTATGTAGCTAATGTAAAATTTCTTAACTTCAAGACTTATTTGCAATAGTTTTCGCCTTATTATTTACTGTATATTTAATTAAGGTCTATGTGCAAATGCCTTCTTATAATTATAAGAATAATTTATGCTTACTTGTACGACTCGTTCATATTTAGTTAAATTATAATTGTGTTCTACTTTTTCTGACTCATGATAAAATAATTCTACTTTTGCAGCCTTTCCTGGTACTGGATAGCTACAAAAAATAATGGTGAACAGTTAATTATTACAGCATTGTAGACAATTAACTGAGATTTTAAGGATTATTCATTTAACAGAGATATCTTCTTTTAAAATAATACTCATTCTCCTGGGTAAATCACTCTACCTTATATCAAAGAAGTTTCCCTTGAATATGCCCGAAGATAATCCTAGCTATTGACATAAAACCAAAAAGAAATATTGTCTCCCCATGTTTTTTGCTTTTGTGTCTCCCAATATATACTGAAAAATATCTTATATTTACCTTTTAGATATGATATCTCCCTAAAAATCTGAAGTGTGGTAAGCTTTCAACTTGCATGAAAAATACATATTCACATGGATATGAGTTAACATCTAGCAAATTTGTATCAATTATTAAACAGAAAAATAGTGGTCAAACCAAGGAAGGGAACATCTTGAACTTGCATTAAGGTTTTAGCTTTAGCTCAGTGTTTAAGAACTCGCTGTGACTTTGAGATGAAGAATGGCAATAAAGAGGTTGATTCTTTTGTTTAGGTTATGTCAAGTGGCTGTAAGCATGGTAAGAATTTTTTGTGTCCTGAATTAATACACCATCCCCCTTCATAACCATTAGTTACTCACCTGTTAGTCTCTATGCCTAATGTTTTTGCTAATTTACTAACATAAGTGGTATAGCTTTCTAAAACAGGAAAATCATATCCTTTTATTTGTATGTTTAGTTCGTCATATTCTGGTATTTCTGGTGGTTGATTCTACAAAATAATCAAAATTAAATCAAATAAACTATTGACACAGAGATATATGTCTGTATATTATTGTGATAGGAAAATGCAAATGTTGAAATCAACAAGAGATATAAACAATTTACCAAAGTTTCATGAGAATTGCTGACAGCATTTTTGAGTTATTGTCCAAAAACTGGAAAATCCCCCCTTTTTTAATGAATAAAACCACATAACTCAGACATGTAAAATGTAAAATTTATAAAATTCTAAAGGGAGCTTACATCAATAGATATAAACAATTCACCAAAGTTTCATAAGAACTGCTGAAAGCATTTTTGAGTTTTTGTCCAAAAACTGTAAAATCCCCCTTTTTTTCTGAATAAAACCCTGTAACTCGGAAACGTAAAATCTAAAATTTATAAAAATCAAAAGGGAGCTCATGTCAATAGATATAAACAATTCACCACAATTTCTTGCAAGTTAGTGAAAGCATTCTTGAGTTATTGTCCGAAAACTGGAAAATCCCCCTTTTTTTAATGAATAAAACCCCATAACTCGGAAACGTAAAATCTAAAATTTATAAAAAACTAAAGGGAGCTCATGTCATAGATATAAACAATTCACCAAAGTTTTATGCAAATTGGTTTAAGCGTTTTTGAGTTAATGTCCGACATGTTGACGACAGTCAGACAGACGGACGGACGGACGGACGGACGGACAGACAGACAACGGTATACCATAATACATCCCGTAAACGGACGTATAAAAAGGCAACAAACAATACCATAACATGCGAAATATTTAAAACATTCAAAGTCAATAAACCATGGGAATTAGACATGCCAATGATAATACAACTGCAAACCAAATATCTTTGACTTATCATAAGTGCATTTAATTGTTACCCTTTAACTGACCTAATCAAAAAATTCAACATGTAAAACTATGTCAAACTTTTAAATTCTATAGATCATGACTGAAGGAGGAGGGGCCAACTAATCTCCATGGAATTGAGATGTGCCAATGCTAATACACTGCATACCAAATATTATTGGCTTGACCATTAGTGGTTTAGCTGAAATTTAAACTGACCTAATCACAATCTTTAACTAATTGCTGAAGCTGACAACAATGACACCACTGAAAACAGCACACCTAAGTCTGACCTTATTTTTCCTTCAAGGTGAGACAAAAAATCAAGATAATTACTTAACTTAATTTATACAGTGCTTTATAATTTTTGGGTAGTTTATTTTCCTAATTTATTTTTTCTGACCCATTCCCTCACCTGCCCTACCTTGTATTGTATACAAAACTTCATAATAACAATGTACAACAGACCTTTACTGACTTATAAACTGTAAATTCAGAAATAATTGTAAGGTTTTAAATAATGCAAATAATGCTACTACTTGAGTATGGTAAAAATAAGAAATCAAATACATATATCTGCATGTAGCTTTTCCTAAAATCGCTATAACTAAACTTGCATTTTTGTTCAAATAATAAATGCAGCAATAATTTCTGAAATTACAGTAAGCATTTTTTCCTATATATCATATTCCTGTTCATAGTGGTTTAATTAATGAATTGATAAACCTCATTAATATTGATGACTTTAAATTTGCTCTGCTGATGTTAATACAGCTTTTCAACCAATGGGCTAATACAGATAAAAGATATATTGGACAATTACAATATAGGATACATCATCTCTACTTGACTTGTATTTTGATGCATATAATACAATTTTTAAGTATCATACTTTTTAACTTAAAAATGACAGGACATTAAAAAGTTTGTTATGACTTGAAAAAAACACAGCTTTTCTAATTGACATTTTCACTAAAATTCAATGTTGCATTTTTTTTCATAAAACATACAGAAAACTGCAAGAATGTAGATGTTGAAAATAAGAATGGTGAAACCTCTAATACTAAATAAAATGAATTATGGTAGTTTAAGTTGTAGTTTATAGTAATTGATAGAGAAATCAGAAATATCCTCAAGTGACCAAAATATGCATTGTAAGAAAAGTTAATTCATATATTACTTTGTGCAATGCACAACAGTAAGTTTCTTTGATAACATGGAGATTTAGAATTATTCTATATATATAAGTGTTGTAAACTGACTGCTACTGTATTGGCTCTGATACATGTATTGATTCTTTATAATACAGAAACAAACCAGTTAACAACACTTCTACCAAATATCATAAAATCAGTTATATGCATAATTGATCAACTTTGTATAATTTACAGTATTAGAAACAAGTTAAGATAAAATGATTATGATATACTCACTAAACCATCTGGTTCCCACTTCCCTAAAGATAAGGATGTGGCTCTGTAGTTACATCTAAAAAGTAGGAAAAACATTCAAATATATGGACAATTACATTGTAATAATATCACATCAAGTCATTACTAATGTTCAACCAAGGATTGTAACTGTATGCTCCAAGGAGCTTGTACTGTTTATGTGGTCTCTATGCATGTTTTTGACTCAGTTAAAACAAATGTTTTAAAATGCGTTATGATCTGAAAAATCATTCTAACAGAATGGTTGTTCAAATCAATAAGGAATGTGTAAAAAAAAAAAAAAATTCTTAATTTTTCTCCATGACTTACAAGTAAAATAATGTTCCACTTGAAAGTCAATTAATATATATATCCTAAATTGAGGTAAATTATATGGCCTTCCAAATACCGTTTCGATTCCTAACATCACTGAAGAGACATTAATTGTCGAAATCCGGATATGGTGTACAAAAATCTTTGCACCTTTGTTTGCGGTATACCATCTTTGTTTTTTTATTGTTTTCTGTTTGGTATTAAATTTATAATTACATGTAAGATCCATTTATTACACCTTGTGATCCGTTTATTTGGCAATTGCCAATGGCAGTCAGCAGGGTTTAAGAACATTTGTTGTTCGACCTGTTAGTCAAATGCGTTTTGTTAAAATATACTTTTTCACTTTTTTGGTCTTTTGGAAAATGTTGTTTGTGCTGTATTTAGACCCCTCTAACAAGAAATTTGTTTTGCATGCACACATATAAAAATTGCGGTTTTTATCCAACGCAATCATAGGTTTGAACGTTGTTTTCAATTTAGACTTGTTTATATTTTTTCGTTTGGGCTTGTATTATATTTGCCTTCGGGTTTATATGATCTGTTCATCCTATTTTGACTCCTCAAAATTCAAGAGTCTATCCTTAATTGAGGTAAATTATATGGCCTTCCAAATACCGTTTCGATTCCTAACATCACTGAAGAGACATTAATTGTCGAAATCCGGATATGGTGTACAAAAATCTTTGCACCTTTGTATGCGGTATACCATCTTTGCCGCAAGTTTATTGTTTTCTGTTTGGTATTAAATTTATAATTACATGTAAGATCCATTTATTACACCTTGTAATCCATTTATTTGGCAATCGCCAATGGCAGTCAGCAGGGTTTAAGAACATTTCTTGTTCGACCTGTTAGTCAAATGCGTTTTGTTAAAATATAATTTTTCACTTTTTTGGTCTTTCTGAAAATGTTGTTTGTGCTGTATTTAGACCCCTGTAACAAGAAATTTGTTTTGCATGCACACGTATAAAAATTGCGGTTTTTATCCAACGCAATCATAGGTTTGAAAGTTGTTTTCAATTTAAACTTGTTTATATATATATATATATATATATAATGGCCATGGGCGAGATCATGGTGAAACATTAGTTTTCTAGTAATGTCTAAGTTTAGGAGGGCTGTCATTCCACATTTTGAAAATAACAAACACCCATAAAAAACATTCATTTAAGCAGGCTTAGCAATTTGTTTTGTTAATTTTTTTCTGTATTAAGTATAGGTGTTTAAGATACAATGTATATTCATGATAAACAACCAAGATTTTAAGTTGAGACATATGTACAAATGTACATAGATTCCAAAAAGAGCCTGTGCCAAAAGTAACTATGTGATTAACATAAACTGTTATCACAGAGATATGTCTCGCCTTTTTCTAATTTTGATTATGCAAATGTTGAAATTAAAATAGCAATACTTTAACATGTAAGTTATGCAAATATTCAAAGTCAATGAACCATGACTGAGGTACATGGCTAAACAATCTTCATGGAAATGAGATGTGCCAATGCTAATACAACTGCATACCAAATTCCACTGACTTATCGTCATAAGTCGTTCCCTTTAAACAAACCTAATGACAAACATTAATTTGTAAACTATGTAAAAGTTTCAAAGTCAATGAACCATGAAGAGGGGGTGGGGCTATATAATCCCCATGGAAACAATACTTGCAAATGCCAATAAATTTGCATACCAAATATAATTGACTTAACATTAGCAGTTCATCTTAAACTGATCTAATCACAAACTAATACATGTAAACTAAGCAAAAGTTTCAAAGTAAATAGACCATGACTGAGGGGGCGGGGCCAAATATTCTCCATGGAAATGAGATGTGCTAATGCTTATACAACTTAACACCAATTCACATTGGCCTACCACTAATGGTTCCCTGTGAACAAACCTAATCACAAACTAATACATGTTACCTTAGCAAAATTTCAAAGTCTATAGACCATGACTAAGGGGGCGGAGCCAAATAATCTCCATGGAAATGAGATATGCCAATGCTTATACAATTGCATACCAAATATCATTGACCTACCACTAGTGGTTCCCCATAAATTGACCTAATCACAAACTAATACATGTAAACTATGAAAAGTTTCAAAGTCAATACACCTTGACTGAGGGGGCGGGGCCAAATAATCACCATGGTAATGAGATGTGCCAATGCTAATACAATCATACCAAATATCACTGACCTACCACTAGTGGTTCACCATGAACTAGACCTAATCACAAACTAATACATTGTTGACGCCGCTGTCGCCGATGCCGGAAACAGCATACCTATGTCTCGATATTTGACTCCGTCAAGGCGAGACAAAAATGGAAATCCGACCAGGATTTTAAGTATCTAAATTACTTTGTATGTAGGATATTTCATTTTCAAAATCCAGTAGTAAAATTTTCTTGTGACAACCCTTGAAATTCAACTGACATTTCAGTAATATCAATATATCAATCATAACAATAAATATGGATTCTATAGACCAAAAAGGGTTGATTGATTATATAAATAGCTACTGAGGAACTTGCTTCATAACATTTATAAGATTTAAGTTTATCGATTAACTATGAAAAAGAGGTCAAGGTCAGATGTCAAGGGGACATGTACACATTACAATGATCATATTCTTAAGACCAATTATAGTTGATATTTAATATACATGATATAGTTAGTGAAAATATTAAATAATTGTGAAAATACGACTTTGTTCAATGAACCCTGAAAATGACAATGGATTACTTTTAATTAATAGTGTTATTTTCATTTTTTAGACTTTGGCTAATACTAAATTTTCCTAGTGTGCATGAGTGCAGCACATAGTATTGGTCTTTTATTTCTGCTTCAGAGTTTAAACTGAGCATGATGTGTAATATTAAGTTAAATTAATAAAAATTGTATTTGGTACCGGTAATTAGATTCGTCCATCTACAGAATGAGTACACAGATGTATGCCTGCAGCCCAGGTAATATATGAATAGCTATTTCAAGTTAGTGGCGTTTGTTTCACTCTGCCATGTGTTGATATTAACCAATAAATATCAAATGTCAAAAATAACTTATCCTATAGTTTATGCAATACATGTAAAACATGTAATCTTATAAAATATACATAGAATAACAAACCTTTGTAAAAATTTGGAACACTTTGGACAAACAGTGTGGCTTGATGTGTTCTGTAATATGGAAAACACCTGCAATAAACATGATAAAACAAATAAATAAGTCATACAAACTGGTCTTAATACTTCTATAGAATTACCATTATTTTATTAGTAAAATTGAGAATGGAAACAGGGAATGTGTCAAAGAGACAACAACCCAACCAAAGAACAGAAAAAAGTCCAAGGCCACAAATGGGTCTTCAACACAGAGAGAAAATCCTGCACCCGGAAGCGGGCTTCAGCTGGCCCCTAAACAAAAATGTATACTAATTCAGCGAGAATGGACTTCACACTAAACTCCGAAACATATAAATGAACCGAAATTAGAAAATATACAAGACTAACAAAGGCCAAAGGTTCCTGACTTGGGACAGGTGCAAAAATGTGGCGGGGTTAAACATTTTTAGCGAGATCTCAACCCTCCAACTATACCTCTAGCCAATGTAGAATAAACAAACACACAGCAATATGCACAGTAAAATCAGTTTAAAAGAAGTATGAGTCCGATGTTAGAATAGGTAACAGAAGAAACTAAGCAAAATGACAATGATCAACATAAATTAACAAAGGACTACTAGAAGTTACTGACATGCTAGCTCCAGACCTCAATTAAACTGATTGAAAGATTATTTCTTCATCATATGAAAATCAAGCACAATCCCTCCCATTAGGGGTTTAGTATCATCCCATCATAAAATATACAAAAAGAATATAACCTGTATCATGCCAACAACTGGTTTTAGAATAAATGTGTTCATTTCCGATGCAAACACCATATGAGTGAATCAATATTACTTCCAAAAAATGCCATCTTTAATGACCTAACAACAGTATCATAACTATATCCCTCCTGAATATATAAGTCTGTTTAAAGGTTTGGTTAGATTTTGAGGTGAATGCCGACATTTTTGTGCTTTGTATAGAATATTATCATAAAAGATGGGATGTGAAAAACCTGAACGTATATTTTTATATTTGTCTGTTATTTTGGTGGAGGAAGCCGAAGTACTCAGAGAGAACCACTGGGCCACTTGAGAGATATCAGGAGATTGATCTCCAGGTCAAAGTAGGGAACAACTTTGACCAACCGAGGCCCCCACAGACACAGTACCCATTCTAGTTTAAATTCCGGTATGGGTACCAAAGAAGTGTGTGGGAGGGTGAAAATCACCCTTGTGATGTACTGAAATTTCCAGCGCCCCAAGTCAGAATCGAAAACAGGACCTTCAGCAATAAATGGTTAAGACCTATTGCATACATATAATTATATTAATTGACATGGTAGAATGAAAAGTTACATGATAACATATCATGATAGAATGAAAAGTTACACTATTTCTAATATTTAAACACTCTGATATGAAAGAGGAAGACAGTCTAAGTAATAATGCTGAGCTATTGTTAACCAATAGAGATATTTTTTCATTAGTGGTGATGTTACGTTGTATTTAAAATATAACATTTATTTTATTTTCTAATATTTCTCGTTTTGAGGTAAATTTATTACATTGTAACAAGAAATGTTGTTCATTCTCAATTTCCCCATTTTTACAGACAGGACAGTACATGTATCTTTCCTCTCTAGGAATGTTTAGATGTCTTCCCCTTTCAATCATTAAAGAATGTGCACTTATGCATATTGCTGCTCTATCATTTAAATTGTTTAGAAAAAGGTTTAAGTTTAATAAATCTATCATACATTGCAGTCTTTAATCAAGTTTAATGTAACAATGACGCAATGTAACCGTAGACCCAAATATTATTGTTACATTCGTAATTAATCGGTTTCTTACCCAATCCTGCATTCCGGCATTTAGTCTCCAATGTAACAATAATTTTTATATTATTGTTACATTTCCATGTAACCGCAGCCAGTGCCATTATAATATCAAGAGAACTAGTACACAATTTAACAAAATAAAGGATGTATAATGCCCCTTTGAAACATGTAACATACATATATGCTATCACAGATTTTTGATTTTTTAGCCCTTAATATTACAATAACAAATTAAATGTATGTTATTTTTCTCTAATAACTTATTTAAATTAGACCCTTGACTGGTCGATAGTTTTTGAAACTTACTCTTGCAAGAATACTCATTGTCCGTGTCAATTGCTTATAAAAAAGCTTTAGTATTCTGAATGTCAACAAAAGCACTATCGTTTCTGGGTCAGGAAAGACAACTCTTGAAAAAAAGAACATTAAGAAATACGTCTACTGTGGTTCAAATGGATATCAGTTTGATACAAAGAAGATTTTACTGTTTCTTAAAATCTATAGATAAAATACATAAACAGGAATATAAGCAAAAATAAAGTGCGAAAACAATTATTAAAAAGTAATATGCAAGTCGAATCGGACCTGACACTTGTTCCGTGCAACTGTGTATGAAGACTTGTTTAGGCGACTTTAGTTGTTATATATGTACATTATTTTTTGCCTTTTGAAAATTCTTAAGTTGAAAAAAACAAAAGGAAATCCAACATTTTGACTAACAGTACAGAATCATATATTTACACACTTCAACAGTAGAAAATAACATGTAATAATTTTCTTCTATCTTTCCCATGGTTTTATAGTTTTTTTACATGAAATAATATCTTATTACCTGATCTGAGACTACAATGTACTATAGCACATTGTACTATTGCATATAGTTTACTCAGGTTGAAATTATTGTTTCAAGCAAATCACTGTTGATTTTATTGTAGGATTAAACGCATTTTTAAAGGAATTTATTGGTGTATAAACTCGACCAATTCACTCACAAACAAATGAAAGTCTGAAGGACTCAGAAGGACTTTTATGATATGTTTGTGAGTGACTTGGTCCAGTTTATACACCAATAAATTCCTTTAAAAAGGCGTTTAATCCTTATAATTCTTTAAAATTGGAGAGACGAAATTTAATTTCCCCACTCATAATCTCTATCACACGTACATTGTATATTTGCGTCACTAAATTGGCCTGGTGCATGAATATATTTTTTGGTTAACGCAAAAAAAAGTACTTCATGCAATTTGCTATCTGATAAAAAATAAACTACTAAAATATCTTATAATCATTAAAATAAATGTTTTGTGTATATATAATATTATTTGATTTAACGATGAACTCGTAGTGAAAATAAATATTTTGAACGTCGCTGCCATCTTGTTTACATTGGTTACAAAAAGTAGTTCTGTCAACGTCGTCTATCGAAAAATAAATAACGTCAAGAGCAAATACCGGAAGCCCTCTCGACCAATCATATAAACATATTCCCTCATATGCAAGTCATATAAGAATTATCCTAAATTATTATTAATTACAGACCACATATTATTGCACACTTTTTACAAGTAACATATTAGACCCCACATACAATTTTTGTCTTCTCGCTTGTGATAAAAGTAAAAGAAGGCGAGACATAGGTATTGCTTTTCTTGCGGAGGCATTATTAAGTTTTTCTGCTTAAGTCAGTTGATGGGAACAATTTGTGATGGATTAATGATATTTTCTATAAAGTTGCATTACTGACATTACTATCAGTACAAATCAGTTTGATGACTATTTCGAGACCCTGCCCTTGTAGGTCATGATCTAATGACTTTCAATTTATTACCAATTTTCAATGTTAAGTTAGTTTGTTAGGAACTACTCATGATTGACAATGATAAGTTGAATTACTATTATATAGAAATAAGAAGATGTGGTATGATTGCCAATGAGACAACTCTCCACCAGAAACCAAATAACATAGAAGTACATCTCAGTTTGTCGACTATTTTGAGGCCCTTCCCTTGGTTCATGGTCCAGCAACTTTGAATTAATAAGCAATGTTGGTATCCATCAGATTGTCCTTTTCTGAATTTTTTGCTGACAGGCAAGACATATCTCTGCCAACAGTTTCTTATTTCTACTGTGTTTATGTTTTGTCTTAGACTCCTTTGAAAAAAAATCTTTATTAATCCTTTATCAATGTTTATGATATTCAACTTTAAGACATTATTTAAGGAATAATGTAGTGTAGAACAAAAGTAATAGGTAAAAAATTCAATATATCAGTTCTATATATACCAATCATCTAACATATCATCTAACATGATATTCAGGAAAAAAATTGTATATTGAGTTGAGCATTGAGTTGTCATGGTTGTGTAATAAAATGTGTACTAAATTTTGTAAACGAAAGAAATCTATTTGGTCAGTTAAGATTGGAATTGAAGAGGAGGTGGTTCCAAATAAACTCCACTGTACAGTGTTGCCCACAAACAATTATTGTTTGTTGATCACGGCAGGGCTGCCAAGTCTCACGCAATTAGCATGAGACTCACGCATTTTCATGCATATTTGGCGGCATTTTCCTTTGATCTATTGTTTTTTCTCTTTGATCTATACAATTTTGGCCAAATCTCACGCATTTGCTTCATGAAAACTTGGCAGTACTGTCATGGTAGCTGTCAGTCATATTGGTAATGTGTATTCAGTAACTCTTAGTGATAAAAATGATCAAACTAGCCAGCAGTTTGGCAAAACTTATGACTTAGACATACTTGAATAAACTGCTCTTAAAATATAACCCAAACTTTTCACTGTTCATTTATTAACATAGACATGAGAAGTATTGGGAACTATATTTCAGTGTGTATAGTTTTAGTGGCTAACCTGTCAACATCCTGTCTAGTGAGGCTAGTGCATTCAGAAAGAATCAAAACAATAGTAAAAAATGTAACAATACTAGCAATTAACCTAACAATATTTATAAGGCAACCAAAAAGGACTGCCCTCCTAAATTTTTCCTTTTTGGCTTTATCATGTTTATAGATCATTTTGTTCAGTCTTATCATGAATTCATGACATCTTGTGTTTTGGGACAACTATTTATACACTTGTATATAGTTTTAAAGATTCATTACACCTTAATGATTGTTTTAAGAGCTGATACAAATACCATGAAAAATGTTAAACAGGATATTTTCATAGGAATCAATAGGAAAAAATCATTAAATACACTTATTATAATCATATTGATAACAGTAAACAACTTATATATATATTTATTTTAGATATGAAGGCTAATAGGATCAGACATTGATGGAATTAATTGTGATGTAATTATTTTGTTTCAAACTTATGTCAATTTTTTGGCCAACCAATGGCAAAAAGGCTGCAATTAAAGCATTGAGAAAGTTAACATTGGAAAAAATGAATCACAATTATATTCTATAACCAATAGGCCAATTCAAACATTTCTTGACCTGAATGCTAATTTGTAGGCATATGTTCATGATGAATAAAGGAAATGTGGGATATACCTAAATGACGCAATAACCCAACAACAAAATAACTAAAAGACATCTAAAAGTACAAAATATCCTCTAATGTACATAGTGAAATATATTTCTTCATCATGAATATGACTATTGGTTGACTAGTACAGCTGTTGATGCTATGCATAAAACAATGGTAAATAAAATAAATCATCATTTTCCCCAAGTTTTCCATGGAATTGTCCAGCTGTTAAGAAAAAATCCATTTGTTATGATCTGAACTTCTCAGATTTAGGCATTGTTTTTAGAAAATCTTGTCCTTTCAATGTTCTTATAAATTTTTATATCTGCAATAATTTAAACAATTTGAATTTTGAATCATTGAACTAAAAACATTTACACCTTCCTAATGATATTAGCTTCACTTTTTTTTAGGCTGAAAGGATGTGATTCATAAGCTCTATAACCATGTATAGAAAATGAGTTGTCCAGATTTATCAGACATCACAGCCAGTGAAGATTCACTTACAACCAAGCAAACAGTGGAAAGAAAATCTTCAGATGAAATGAAGGAATTTCCTACACAATTGTCTCTAAAGTCACCTGTACTGATATTTCAAAATGGGAGGCAGAAACTTGATACAAACAAGCTTTTGTTTCGTTGTGAGCCAAACAGCTTGTCAAATATCTATGCCCTTGCTCAAGCAAATCTGGTTCAGCAAACACAACATGATATAATGAGAATGTTTTCTGTAGATGTTTCTGATCAGCTTCCAGCTATGGAAATTGAACCCATGGTCAGTGGAAAAAAAGATTCTGTGACCGTTAAACTAGTTAATGAGCGTAAGATATCAATAAATAGGATATGATATTTACTTGCTTAATTTAGTACAGCCTTTTATTATATATATTTAAATAAACTGTTACAAAATTAAAGATGTACTGTTAGAAACAAAAACAAAAATATTCTTAAATGTACATTAAAAAATCATTTCTTCAAGCATACATATAATCTTGAATTTTAGGATATTTATCAAGTTATATAATCTAACAATTAAATCAACATGTAACAGTAAATTTGGTCCGGTAGTAAAATTTGTCCGCCAGACTTTTTTTCCTAGGTAATCAAGTCCGTGACCGTAATTTTACTAGGAAATTAAGTCCCTGGATAAATTTTCCTTGGAAAATAAGTCCGTAGCTAGTAAAATATGTCTGGCACCTATTTTCCTAGGAAAATTTTTATATTTCTGTATTCTCCTTTTTTGTATGAAAAAAGTCCCTTTAGAAGTTTATTTCTTAAGACATTACTTAAATTAATCAATATCAAAATCAAGAAAGGAACATTTGTGATTATGTACATCATAAAAGTCTGTGATATTAATTTTCCTAGGAAAAAAGTCCGTTTAATTATTAAAAAACACCCATATTTTGATAAAATAGTGAAATATCAATGCACAACTGTTAAACAATTTAATAACATATAAGTTACAAATTCCATTGTTTACATATAAATTATTTCTTTCATTACAAAATTCCCTATAAAAATAAAGGACATGGACGTTTTTACCTAGGAATATTGAATGGCCTGGACATGAATTCCTAGGAAAATTAGTCTGGGCAGATAAATTTTATTTAAAGATTAATGCACAACTGTTTAACAGCATTGAAACATAATTAAATATTCCATTGTTCACATGTAAATGATTTCTCTCATTACAAATTGTCTTATCAAAATAATGAACATGGTTGTGTTTACTTAGCAATATTAAATGGCCTGGACAGGATTTCCTAGGAAATTTAGTCTGGGCACATAAATTTTATTAAAAGATTAATGCACAACTGTTAAACAACATTAAAACATAAGAATTAAATATTCCATTGTTTACATGTAAATGATTTCTTTTATTACACATTTTCCTATTAAAATAAAGGACATGGACGTTTTTACCTAGGAATATTGATGACATGGACATAAATTCCTAGGAAAATGACTCTGGGGACATAAATTACTGACATCGGACTAAATATACTAGTAAATTCTGTAACTATGGACTTTTTATACTAGTTATATTTGTCCGCCCGGACACATTTTACCAGGACTAATTTATCACTTACATATATACACCTAAAAAAGTGTACAAAACAACACTAACATTTAAAAATCCTATCAATTTATTCTGATTTAAATATCCTTAATGTTATACAAATTAAAAACCAAACCACACTTGTATCATTCTAAATTTTCAAAATTGATGCTGGTTAATTATTTACAACAGAGACTGCATAGATATGCATCTAAAAAGAGTAGTAATGTGTGATATAAGCTGGTACAATTCTAAAATTTCACAGGGGACGAAATATATATTATATTTGAAGGAATCAACCTGTCTGTCAATCCATCTGTCTGAGCTAAATTATTAGTGCCTTGTCCAATTTTAACCAAACTTTTGTACAATTAAAGATAATAATGTTTCAGCTTTCAGGCACTTAGGATTTTTTATGACAGTATTTCTGGAACTATGCCCCTGAACTTTTTCAGTATGTGCTTTGTGGATGCACCTCTTCCTACAAGCTTAATCAGACATTCATGAAACTTTATACATTGTGAGATCCTAACATGAATATGCGTTAAAGTAGGGCATCCTGATCTGTTGACAATCTTGACACAAATGTATATACACTGTGATATATGTCTACCACTACAGGTGATTTGTTTAAGTTACACTTCCAAATTCAGTTCTCTGAATGTCAGTTACTTACTATTAAAGTTCTATAACAGATACAACTTTTTATATGGAAGCATCCAGGGGCCTCCCAACAAAATAAGGTCCCTTTTTACATGCATATTCATGTACAGAGAGTTAAGTTTGATTTTATCTGCATTAAGATTATATTTGATCGCTGTAACTTTTTATACGACCGCAAAAAATTTTTGCGGTCGTATATTGGTATGATGTTGGCGTCGTCGTCGTCGTTGTCATCATCGTCCGAAGACACATTGGTTTTTCGCACTCTAACTTTAGTTTAAGTGAATGGATCTCTTTGAAATTTTACCATAAGGTTCAATACCACAAAAGGAAGGTGGGGATTGATTTTGGGGGTTATGGTACCAACAGTTAAGGAATTAGGGGCCAAAAAGGGGCCAAAAATGAGCATTTTCTAGTTTCCAGACAATAACTGTGGAACGGTGTATGGATCTCTCTGAAATTATACTACAAGTTTCCATACCACAAAGGGATGGTTAGGATTTGCTTTGGGGGGTTATGGCTCAAACCGTTTAGGAATTAGGGGCAAAAAAGGGGGAAAAACAAGGTTGTCCTGGTTAATGGACAAATACTTTAGTACAAAACATAATTTAAAGCAGTGTAAGGGAGATAAATCAAATACATCATTGAAATTATCTCCCTTACACTGCTTTTAAATTATGTATAAAGTAATGGTTAATGAACAATTAAGATAATTTAAAACAGTGTAAGGGAGGTAATCCAAATACAGCGTTTTGGTTACTTCCCTTACACTGCTTTTAAATTATGTTTAAAGAAATGCATATTTATAAAGGAAGACCAGTAAAAATATCTGCAAATGTTGCATCTTTTTTTCTTTACAAAAAAATCCATATGAAAGATTTGACACTATATTTTAAATTCTATTATAAAATAGATTAAGTTAGCACTATGGTAAATTTAAATGGGTAATTATGGTTTCAAACTCCATTGGAAATTTGAATTGAGATTATGACCATATCTTGAGGGAAAGAATTTTTTTGGGGAAAAAAGGGGGAGGTAAAAAGAAATTGTGAAGGGGTCTATTTTTTCTCATTTCAGATTTCAGAAATTAAAAAGAATTATTCTTCAAATATTTTTTTTTTTCAAATTTCAAATGTTGAAAAATTTCAAGAAGTAATCTTTAATTGCACAGTATGGCGCATTAGATTTGTAAAATCTTTGACCACATTTATTTATTTGTTATGCCGAATCTAACCGTGTATTTAGATTTTTAATTTTGGGTCCTGTTTTTTAAATTGGTCTACATTAAGGTCCAAAGGGTCCAAAATTAAACTTAGTTTGATTTTAACAAAAATTGAATTCTTGGGGTTCTTTGATATGCTGAATCTAAACATGTATTTAGATTTTAGATTTTTGGCCCAGTTTTCAAGTTGGTCCAAATTGGGGTCCAAAATTAAACTTTGTTTGATTTCAACAAAAATTGAATATATGGGGTTCTTTGATATGCTGAATCTAACCATGTATTTAGATTTTTTATTTGTGGGCCCGCTATCAAATTGGTTCATATTGAGGTCAAAAGGGTCCAAAATTAAACTTTGTTTGATTTCATCAAAAATTGAATTATTGGGGTTCTTTGATATGCCAAATCTAACTGTGTTTTTAGATTTTTAATTTTGGGTCCCGTTTTTTAAATTGGTCTACATTAAGGTCCAAAGGGTCCAAAATTAAACTTAGTTTGATTTTAACAAAAATTGAATTCTTGGGGTTCTTTGATATGCTGAATCTAAACATGTGTTTAGATTTTTGATTATGGGCCCAGTTTTCAAGTTTGTCCAAGTTGGGGTCCAAAATTAAACTTTTTTTGATTTCAACAAAAATTGAATATATGGGGTTCTTGATATGCTGAATCTAACCATGTATTTAGATTTTTTATTTGTGGGCCCCGCTTTCAAATTGGTTCATATTGAGGTCAAAAGGGTCCAAAATTAAACTTTGTTTGATTTCATCAAAAATTGAATTATTTGGGTTCTTTGATATTCCAAATCTAACCGTGTATCTAGATTTTTAATTTTGGGTCCCGTTTTTTAAATTAGTCTACATTAATGTCCAAAGGGTCCAAAATTAAACTTAGTTTGATTTTAACAAAAATTGAATTCTTGGGGTTCTTTGATATGCTGAATCTAAACATGTGTTTAGATTTTTGATTATGGGCCCAGTTTTCAAGTTTGTCCATGTTGGGGTCCAAAATTAAACTTTGTTTGATTTCAACAAAAATTGAATATATGGGGTTCTTTGATATGCTGAATCTAACCATGTATTTTGATTTTTAATTTTGGGTCCTGTTTTTTAAATTGGTCTACATTAAGGTCCAAAGGGTCCAAAATTAAACTTAGTTTGATTTTAACAAAAATTGAATTCTTGGGGTTCTTTGATATGCTGAATCTAAACATGTGTTTAGATTTTTGATTATGGGCCCAGTTTTCAAGTTTGTCCATGTTGGGGTCCAAAATTAAACTTTGTTTGATTTCAACAAAAATTGAATATATGGGGTTCTTTGATATGCTGAATCTAACCATGTATTTTGATTTTTAATTTTGGGTCCCGTTTTTTAAATTAGTCTACATTAAGGTCCAAAGGGTCCAAAATTAAACTTAGTTTGATTTTAACAAAAATTGAATTCTTGGGGTTCTTTGATATGCTGAATCTAAACATGTGTTTAGATTTTTGATTATGGGCCCAGTTTTCAAGTTTGTCCATGTTGGGGTCCAAAATTAAACTTTGTTTGATTTCAACAAAAATTGAATATATGGGGTTCTTTGATATGCTGAATCTAACCATGTATTTTGATTTTTAATTTTGGGTCCTGTTTTTTAAATTGGTCTACATTAAGGTCCAAAGGGTCCAAAATTAAACTTAGTTTTATTTCAACAAAAATTGAATATATGGGGTTCTTTGATATGCTGAATCTAACCATGTATTTTGATTTTGGACATTGGACCATAATAGGTAAATTAAAAAAAATCAAGTTCTTAGACCACATTCTTTCTGTGTCAGAAACCTATGCTGTGTCAAATATTTAATCACAATCAAAATTCTGAGCTGTATCAAGCTTGAATGTTGTGTCCATACTTGCCCCAACTGTTCAGGGTTCGACCTCTGCGGTCGTATCAAGCTGCACCCAGCGAAGCGTTTTATTTAATTATCATATTAGATTTATGAGAATTGTGGAATTGAGTCCACCCTTTGTGATTGTGTATTGCTTACAATTGTTTACAGTATTCAGATAAAAAAAAATTCTAATAGAACTGCAGATGCAATACATTCCAGAAAACATGAGTAAACTTTATACTATTGGAATAGCATTCATTCATTTTGATTTCAAGTATTAGCCATGCTTCATTGACATTAATCATATTTAATTTGTTCAGATATTGTATTTTCTGATTAGATTCGTGACAATTTTTATGTAATTTGGTTAATCCGAAATAGTTCATTGTCTTTTTTCCAGGTCAGCACATATGTGACATAAAGGGTTGTGGTAGGTCATTTGCTTCATCGGGTTATTTAAAAAACCATCAGTTAATACATGAGAAGGAGAAAGAATTAGAATGCCATTATGAAGGGTGTGGAAGGAAATTTTCTTGGCCAGCTCATCTAAAGTACCATTTATTAACCCATCAGTAAGTTTCCTATGTGTGTGAACTAAATGTGTGATTTATTAGCAACCTGTTATAAAAGTTAGATACAGTAAATTCAAAAATTATTTTGCACATTCATTAATTAGGCAATTGTTGATTAAATGACAAAATACAAGGTTAATTGATTCAATTTTATAAAATGCAGCATGCTAATAATACAATTGGAAATAGGAATGTTCTAAGCCATGAGATAGTAGTCCTGTTTCCTCTTTCATATTGAAAAAAGATTAGAATTTACAGTATACTGTTGTTAAAAGTCAATACTTGTTTAATCTTATGATATGAGAAATATTGCTCAGTGGATAAAAATTTATATAAAAAGAATTGAAAGTAATAATGAAATATAGTCTTTAGTGGATTATAGAAAAAATAACCATTTTTATCATTATTACCATGCAATAAATAGAATAGTACAAATTTCAGTGCACACAAGCCACATTACTTCATTGCTTGAATAACCTTAATGACCTACAGAGATACACTCAAGGCCAAAAGCTATTAAGGCAAATACATAAAATGTCTACGAGTATCAAATAATTAAAACATCACACTCAAGTTTCAACTGAACAACATTCTTCCAAATGCAGTAACCATTTCCTATTTGTATTATATTGGCCAGTTTTTGTTTAAAATACTGTATGTAGATTGTACTTTAAATTGAAAAGGAGCTTTTTTTATAAGTAAATGTCATAAATTGTTTTGCATTTTGTATTGTATTTAAGGTTTAACAAGACATCAATCATATTTTTTATCAATTTTTCACTTTCCTCCTTTTTTACTTACTAGATTCATAATTTGCCTATGCAGTACTGTAAGAAATAAAACACTAATTGTCTGTTTTCACTGTAATATTTTGAAATCGTGCAGTTTAAAAACCCAATATATCAATTTAATTTTTCAGAAAAACCAGAAACTTTAAGTGCCCAGGAGAAGGTTGCGATAAATCCTTTGTTACAGCTCAGCAACTAAAAGTGCATTCTCGTACACATACAGGTGAAAAACCTTTTCAATGTGACCATTGCAAGAAAGCATTTACTACTGCAGGGAATCTAAGAAATCATATACGTACACATACAGGTAACTACCTTTTCAACTTGAATGTTATTCTAAGAAGAAAAACATTTATGCTATGGCTGCGAATTTCAAATTTCATGTATGGAAATATAAAGATAAAATTCAAATTTTACCAACTTTTGCTAAATCCTAAAATTTCACAATTTATTCCAACTGATTATTTGATGTACAATGATAAAGGATTCCCCATCTGTCTGTCTAAAGATATTTCCTAAAAACTCGAGTTGTGAATTACAAGTTTTGACACAAACTAAGTGGTATTAAAATAAGCTCCTTCTGCATATGAATAATTTTTACTTAAGTTTTTACAGAATCATAGAACATTAAGCATTATAAAATAACTATTTTCACCTTATTGTGTTTGCTTTAACCAAACCTTATGAATTTTTATGCTCCCTGTGCATTAAGGTTTTCCCTAGCTGTCTGTACGTCCGTCCGTACATCCTGAAATTAGTTTCAGTTCTTTAACTCTACTTTGCCTCAACTTTTGCCTTTGCAACAAAACACAGATCAATTTTGAATTTAAGTGGCTTCACTTTCACCTTTCTCTAGTTATGTCCCTCTATAAATAAAAAAAACTTACTGTAGTTGGTCTCATTGGGGTGTAAGCTTAATGCGTGATTGGCCGATTTTTTGTAAGCATGACACATAAAAGTCAAATTATTTGGCGTGACAATGGGAAACTAGTTGGGCGGGAAATGTGTAATTACAAGCGCTATTATGACAATAATAAGCGGGATCCAGGATCAGACACCCCCACCCAATGAGACCCTCACTTTTCTTTTTATCAAGCAAATGTTATGAAACTTAAACACAATGCTTATTACCACCAAACACAGGTCAAGTATTGTTTTGGGTGGTGTAACTTTCACCTTTCTTGAGTTATGTCCCTTTATAAATGAAAAAAATGGTGAATTAGACGTTTCCACACTCTTACTTTACTTTGCCTCAATCAAATATTATAAAACTCATAAACAATACTAATTACCACCAAACACAGATCAATTCCTAATTAAGAAAGCGCCACTTTCATGGTTCTGGTATTTTTGACCCTTTTTAAATTGAAAATAGCCAATTTTGTTTTATTCACACTTTTATATCACTTTTACTTTTATGTCTTTTTATATCTGGAAAACATTTTTTTGTCTGCACTCTAACTGTTATATGTACTGGCTAAACGTTTCAATTCCATGCTAAAAAGTTTGAATTAGTACATTGACTCTTGCATTTAAACAAGGGCAGGTATCTGTGGCACATGGACACATTTTGTTTTATTTTATATTGATACAGGCATATTTGCCAATGTTGACCAATTCAAAACACAAATGATTGAAATGAAACTCTAAATTTTGAGCAAATTAGATTTTGAATTTAATCAAGATAAGACATTTTCAATGCTCTTTTGTCAGAACTTATTGCAATTTTTGGTTATCAGTAACTAAATTCTGATTGCAATACTTTTTGGGATATAAGATTGCCATTCTGTTTTTTATGATAATCTACAGGGACCTCCAACTTATTGTTTTAATGCCCACATGGGATTACAGGTTATCATAAATTTAACCTGTGTTCACAACTGATGGGAGACTATTTACTTCATGATGTAAAATCTTCTCTGCAAAGACAAATAATTTAGATTTTAAAGTTTAAAAACTTAATTCACTAACATTAGAAAATTTTTAACAAGTAAAGAATGTTCTTTTAATTAACTAGACAATACCTATGTGAACAATTAATCTCCTTGTTTTTAAAAAGAACAAGATGAGACACCTACGGCTATTATAAAACACAAACTTATTTCACACTAACGCACTGAGTAAAACAATTATCAGTCTTTTTATAACACTTTGACAAGAATGATTTAAAAAATAGGACAATTTACTGTCACTTGATAGTCAGAAGAAACCACATATCCTAATTCTGGTTCATTCATTATTTATAATCAAGTTTAAACTTCCAGTTTAAATTTACCTGTTCATTGTATATAAGAATCTAAAGTAGTTGGTCGATTCCTGATGAATTTGCAATTTAAGGACGTTAAAACTGTTGCATTCCACAAGAAGGTATGAAATGTTTTCACTAAAACAGGTACCAGTTCAAATGCAATAAAACCTTTGAAACAAATTGGTTTTTACTGTGACTTCTGGTTTGAATTAGACAGTTTTGTGAGTTTGAAAAAAAAAATAGCCTGACTGTCAAGACCTGAAAAAAATAAGCAAAATACTTTGAAAGATGTCTTGTCCCTTTGTTTTAGGAAACATTAAAACCTCTTTCAAATATTATAAACCTCTTTTACATTGCATGCACTGTTATTGTGAGTTAAATCTCATGACAGATTATCTTGACCTTAAGATGGATTTCTCAACAAATTTGCTAATGGATTTAATAGTTTTTAGTCCCCTACCGACGAAGTCGAAGGGGACTTTAGGTTTGCACTCCCTCCGTCTGTCTGTCTGTCTGTCTGTCTGTCTGTCTGTCTGTCTGTCTGTCTGTCTGTCTGTCCATCCGTCAGTCCAGCAAATCAGTTTTCCACACTTTTTTTCTTCGTGCTTGAAGATATTGATTTGATAATTGGTGTATTATTTAATCATGACAAGTTACAGATCAAGGTCGAATTGTTTTCCGGTCTAACGATTTTGTGCAGAGTTATGGTCCTTGAACTTAGAAAATTCACTTAAGTAATCAGTTTTCCGCACTTTTTTTTGTCATGCTTGAAGATATTGATTTGATGATTGGTATATAGTTTTATCATGACAAGTTACAGATCAAGTTTTAATTTTGTTCCGGTCTACTGAATTTGTGGAGAAGTTATGGTCCTTGGACTAAGAAAATTCACTCAAATAATCAATTTCCAACATTTTTTTTCGTCATGCTTGAAGATATTGACTTGATATTTGTTATTTTATTTGACGTCCATTTGGAAGATTTAAGTTTTTCATTGAAGTAATATTGAGATTGAAGATTTTTTTTTAGGAGATAAACCATATGGATGTCCAGATCCAAAATGTGACCTGAGATTTGCAGAATATTCCAGTCTTAAGAAGCATTCGTTAGTACATACAGGTAGTTTTATGAAATGCAACAGTTTCGTTTGAACAATATATACTCTTGATATATATGAGGAAAATACTAGAAAGAGTCTCCGTATTTAAAACTCATTTGACCCATCTGGCCATTGTTAGCTATGCTATCACTTGGAATTAGGTGTCTTTACATGAGCAACCAGTCATCCTTTTGTGTCCGTCTGTAAAGTTTTGAAAAAAATCTTCCCTAAAACAACTAATCAGCATCATCTTATGAGTACCGGTACCTTGTTTCAAAACACCCCCATTTGTTGTTCCTAGAAATAAAATCTTTTTGGTTAGTTTGGGATTCATCATATTCAGGATTTAAGTTTATTTACATGTGTTATGACTTATTCAAGATTTAAGTTAAAAGAATTCTCTGCATATTAAAGGAAATATTATTAATGAAAAAATCCTGAAGATACCAACGGTGAGTTTGTGCTTTTGTTTGTTTGTTTGTTTTAAGATTTTAGGTTAAAATACAAAATATCATATTTTCAGGAGAGAAACCTTTTAGGTGCAAATTTTGCAATAGGAGTTTTACACAAAGTGGCAGTATGAGAGTACATATGAAGAAACATTCATCCAACCTCAAGGATTCCAGTGTAAATAAAGAGACAGATTTTAATGTTGTGATGATGGAAGAAGATCTTGCAGAAAATAGTTTAGGTTTGTTGGGTATATATGTAACACTCTCAAACGTGTCCATCTCTTCAAACATGTCCATTTTGCTCAAATGTGTCCTTAAACTCACTTATCGCCCAAACATGTCCATTTTAACTTCCAGTAAACCTGTCTGATTACTTTTTTTGCTTAAACAACTACGATTTTTACCTGGCTCAGATTTTTTGGCAATTTCTAACCACCGAAATATGTCTACTTGAAGTTGCCAGAAGTCTCAAATTTGCTAGCGCTATTATGCCCTTTTTAACCACAATAACGTCTATGGCATATTCAATGATGGAGACTAAAGATAAAATAATTATGAAAACCACTATCCAATGACATCAATGCAGAGGGCTCAATTTCCTGAGATTAAACTAGTTACTGGGTTAAAAGAAGAAAATTAAATATGGCGACCTTGTTAGATTGCAGAGACTTAAGGATGATAAAAAAAAATTCAAAATTGTATTTTTTGACAAGGAATCCAAACATGTATACAGTGATTATCTTAATGTGGGTTACCATTGCAAATATTTTATCCATACTCATGCCAATAGAGAAACTAAAAAATGAAAAATATTGTTCATTAGAAATTAGTGATACAATTGTGTTTTATTTAACTTTTGTACAGTTAAAATCATTGTTTATTGAGGGATTACATATTTTGCTAATATACTAATAGTTTGCTATAGAGCATCACTAAAGACACATTAATTGTCAAAATTTGCATCGGGTGCAGCAGTAGTAGTTGCCGATGTTAAATGTTCTACACAGCAGCTTGATTCTGCAAGTGTTTTATTTTCTAGGGGGAGGGGGTTAACATCCTACATACATAGGAACTTGATCCTCCTAGTCAAATGTTTTAGGGCAAAGTTAAAAAAATTGTACCTTAAATGTTTTAATTTGATAAAGGCAAAAAAGATGTGTCAAGATGATTTACTTGACAATATAAAATTTGTGTACATGTATGTCTTCAAATAATACAACTTACATGACAGATATATTTTGTTTTGAATTTAAAAACTACAAATAAGAATACACTATATAAATTTTCCCTGTATTTGTTTTCAAGCATCCTTTGATATATTGAAGGTGTTATCCAACCAAAATATAGTACTTCATTTCTGGTTTCATGTTAAAAACGGATGAAAAACAAGTTCCCTGGAATTTGACTGTTATAGGAAATTAACCCTGCATTCCATTGCAGAATATTTTTTCCACATCATAAACATATATCGTTACTGTTTCACAACACCATTCCTTTTTAGCTCACCTGGCCTAAAAGGCCAAGTGAGCTTTTCTCAACACTTGGCGTCCATCATCTGTCGTCTGTTGTCGTCGTCCATCGTCGTCGTTAACTTTTACAAAATTTCTTCTCCTCTAAAACTACTGGACCAAATTTAACCAAACTTGGCCACAATCATCATTGGGGTATCTAGTTTTAAAAATGTGTCCGATGACCCAGCCTGCCAACTAAGATGGCTGCCATGGCTAAAAATAGAACATAGGGGTAAAATGTAGATTTTGGCTTATATCTCTGAAACCAAAGCATTGAAAGCAAATCTGATGAGGGGGGGGGGGTAAAATTGTTCATCAGGTCAAGATCTATCTGCCCTGATACTTTCAGACAAATCAGACAACCCGTTGTTGGGTTGCTGCCCCTGAATTGGTAATTTTAAGAAAATTTTGCAGCTTTTGGTTATTATTTTCAATATTATTATAGATAGAGATAAACTGTAAACAGCAATAATGAACAGCAAAGTAAGATTTACAAATAAGTCAACATGATCAAAATGGGCAATTGACCCCTTAAGGAGTTATTGCCCTTTATATTCAACTTAAACAATTTTTTGTAAATTTTTGTCATCTTTTACAAAAATCTTCTCCTTTGAAACCACTGAGACAAATTTAAGCAAACTTGGCCACAATCATCATTAGGGTATTTAGTTTAAAAAATGTGTCTGATGACCCCGCTTACCAACCAACATGGCCGACATGGCTAAAAATAGAACATAGGGGTAAAATGCAGATTTTGGCTTATATCTCTGAAACCAAAGCATTTAGAGCAAATCTGACAAGGGATAAAAATGTTCATCAGATTACGATCTATCTGCCCTGTAATTTCAGACAAATCAGACAACCAGTAGTTGGGTTGCTGCCCCTGAATTGTTAAATTTAAGGAAATTTTGCAGTTTTTGGTTATTATCTTGAATATTATTATAGATAGAGATAAACAGCTGTAAACAGCAATAATGTTCAGCAAAGTAAGATCTACAAATAAGTCAAACATGACCAAAATGGTCAATTGACCCCTTAAGGGAGTTGTTGCCCTTTATAGTCAATTTTTTGTAAATTTTTGTAATCTTTTACAAAAATCTTCTCCTCTGAAACTACTGAGGCAAATTTAACCAAACTTGGCCACAATCATCATTAGGGTATCTAGTTTAAAAAATGTGTCTGATGACCCCACTTACCAACCAACATGGTCGACAAAAAATAGAACATAGGGGTAAAATGCAAGTTTTGTCTATTAATTTTGAACTGTCATATATAGAGAAAATCTGAAAGGAGCAAAAATGTTCAGAATAATGAGCTCTACCAATTGTCCGTAGAAGTCAAAACTGTTAGACAAATTCTTATAGGAGTTATTGCCCATAAATGACAAATTTTACCTTTTTTTTTATTTTGCCTATTATCATGAAGACTATGATATTTAGAGAGAAACATTTTTTTTTTCGTTATGCCTTATATGATTTATATTATAATAGATAAATAAACACTTTAAATCACAAAAATGATTAGAAAGGCAAGATCTATTAAAAAGTCAAATTTTGCCTATATAGTTAGTAGACTGTCACTCTTTATATATATAGGAGTGATTGCCCTTAAATAGGATTTTTTTTACCCTCTTTTGTGTTTTGAGCAAAAACTAAATAAGATAGAGATAAACTAAACAGACTAAAAGATCAGTAATACAAGACAACAAAATAGAGACTTTCATCATGAAGTCTATTCTTGTCTTCAATGTTGGAGAGTGTCCTTTGTTTGATATGCACACAGACCAAGGTGAGCGACACAGGCTCTTTAGAGCCTCTAGTTTATTTGGTATATAGCTTCATAATGTATTCATTTTAGCACATAACTGCAAGAGCAGTTTAATGAATGTGTTTCAAAATCGAAAAAAGTAAATAAAAGTTTGATCATTGTTAAAATTTGTGAGACTTTTGGTATTTCTTATCCAGACACAGGACATGTCTGTTCATTAAGCACTATAGTATTACTACAAACATAAGAATGCCTATGTTTTAGACTCAGAAATATAGTTTTTAAAGATTGATTTTGAAACTTGTGGTACTTTTTAAAAAAAATTCAATACATTTTTTTGTCAACTTAATATAATTTTTAAATTATTTAATTCATATAAAGCTAAATATGTTATATGTATAATTTAAAAGGGTCATTTGGTAATGATAAATGTGATTAAATGAATTCCAAACTCAGGTTACCAATTACCAGTAATTAGTGTGTTTTAAAATAATCACAGCTAATGATCTGCAATATCAATAATTAATTTTGATAAATTATCCAAGCTTATTAAATTTCTGAGTGTGAACAGTGTTTATTTATGAGACAATCAAGGTTTTTATTTATATTAATTTAAATTAATGAAAGTGAACAATGTTTATTTCATTAACCAATCATATTGATTGTTTTTACAATACTTTATGATAAAAACCCCATGTACCCCAGGCAGAAGCATCAAACAATTTCTATCAGCACTCCTTGTAAAGATGTCACACTACCAGTCAGTACAAGCTTCTGTCCATGAATATCTGACCTCACTACCAGAAGGACTACAACACACTTACCATACTAGAACAGCACCTACTGGTCAATTCCTTATCTTACATTTTGGTAATGGCCCTGCTTCACAAGCCACCAAAGAGGAGCCAATGGACTATACTGCAAACATCAAACAGGAACCTGTTAGCAATACTACTGCTTCTAACCAAGTAACAGTTAAAGAAGAACCCATGGATGTAAAGCCAATACTACAAAACATTAAACAGGAAACAAACATCAAGGAAGAGATTGACCCAACAACCCTTACAACAGCTACACAGACTGGTGACAGTGTGTTCTCTAGACTGGGTCAAAGACAAGCAGAACAACTACAGCAACAAGACTACTACTCATCCAGAACCAGTAGACCATGCAACTCTAAATACAGAAGACACAACAAGAAGAGATCAACTAGACACAGTTCCAACTCTGTACAAGATTTGCGTACATTCTTGAACAAGAAGAAACAGACTGGACCAAAAGACCTTCGTATCAAGTTGAATCAGAAGGTTCCTAAAGATCTACGACAACTTATACCAAAGAGACTACCACTTTTAATGGAATCAGTTCATGGAGAATTTCTTAGTTTTTACCACAGATAGACTTAATACTATAAATATTTGTAACTTTAGTGCTTGATTTATCATTTTGATTGTTTAAACTGTAGTGCTTGATCTAATGTTGTGAACTTGTGATTGTTGTGAATTTGGTAATACACATGTATATTAATGTGACATTTATATAAATAAATTTATTTATAAGTATAACTGATTTGTCTTCTAAATGGAAACTACCACTTAAAATAATATTAAAGATTAAAGGAATTAAATGTTGATACATGTAATATTCTTTAAATTTGAACACTGGTCAGGCAACCACATCACATCTTTACAACAACAACAAAACAGCCAATCTTAATTTTTATAAATAAAAGAAGGATAGACATCAATGAAACAGCAACCCAACAACAGTAAAACATGTCAAGATGCATTTAAAAGGTGTCTATACAATATGCCAAGCAGTAAATTGTACTGAGTCTAAAAAGGTTGCTGATACATTTAGAAGAAAACAAATATCTGCCCTTAACACCATATTCTTCAAGTAACAAAACACACATCTATTCTAAATCAGTGACTTTTTATAATTAGGAAACTTGGTTGAAC